ATGGCTGGGTCTTCCCTTTTTTTGTATTGTATATACAGCTGTGCATACCATAGTTGCTCAGGAAATATTTGCTGAATTCAGTGATATAAATTTTCTCTTATATGGATACAGGAAAATTTCTTTCTCCATCATTCCTTTCCTCATTCCCACCTCAACAGTTCTTATTGATTTTGAGTAACTGCCTAATCCAAGCCCACTTAAGTTATCTATAATTTAAGGTGTATGTATTTATACCAATTCAAATGGATTCATTAATCTATGGTAGCTAATCTTTCAAAGATTTGTCTTGGCTCTCCCATTGACTAGCTGTACAATATTAGTCCAGTTATTTAACCTCTTCAAGCCTTGGTTTTGGTTTTTTTATAGGGTGTGACACTTTATTTTTTAATTTATTTGAGAGAGAGAGGAAAGGAGAGAAAGAGAGATCAGTTGCCTTCTGCATGTACCCCGACTGAGGATTGAACCTGAAACCTGGGTTTGTGCCCTGACCTGGAATCAAACTGCCACCTTCTGGTATATGGGACGATGCTTCACTAGCTACACTAGCCAGGTCATGCCTTGTTTTTTTTTTAATCTATACAATAGTAACAAGTGCATTACTACAGGCACCTATGATTAAAGCAGGTGATCCATGTCAAGCACTTAATATACATTAAGGGCTCAATATATGTTAGCTGTTGTATCCATGAAAGGTTCTGTGAAGGAAAATATACTGGGGACTGTAAGAATTTGCACAAGGAGTCCTGAGCTAGATCAGAGAGAGTTTCCTTGAGAAATAATGCCCGATATTTACTGAGTACTCACCATATGCCAGTATGTTAGATTGCTAGGGCTACCATAATAAAACACCACGGACTGGGTGGCTTAAACGATTGAAATTTGTTTTCTCCCAATTGGAGATTGAAGTATTGGCAGGGTTGCTTTCTTCTGAGGCCTTTCTCCCTGGCTTTTCGGTAGCCATTTTCTTTCTGTGTCTTCACATGGTCTTCCCTCTGTGCCTGCCTGCCTTCATATGTCCTCTTCTTATAAGGATACCCTAATTGAATTAAGACCCACTCTCATGACCTCATTTCAACGTAATTATCTTTTTAAAGATCTTGTCTCCAAATATGGTCACACTCTGAGGTCCTTCGGGTTAAGCCTTCAGCATATGAATTTTGGAGGCACACAACTCAGCCCCTAACAGTTAGGCACTGATCTATAGCCCTTACATGCATTCTTTTACATCAACTCTATCATTGCTAACTTAATCTTACAAACTGACATGTATAGAAAGGTTAAGCATTTTCCAAATTACACAATACCTAGGAACCAGTAGTGCTCAGGCCTGAATCTAGATAACCACCACTGAAGGCTTATGAAATACCGAGGGATGAGTTGGAGCTGGCTGACCCAAGAACAGAGGGGGCACACCAGGAAGCGGGGAGTATACTGAAAGGCCTTGGAGTGGAAGAGAGCTTGGCACATATGAAAGGAATGAAAGAGTCAAAGTGATGATGTTAAAGAAGTGGACCAGGGAAAATCACAGCAGTCCTTACAGGCCATGGCTAGGATTAAGATTTTGGTCTTTACCCTAAGAATAATGAGAAGCCATTGAAGGATGACTTTACCCACCAAATAATAAACCACTTGAAAGAAACACAAAAATCTTAGTTTTAATTTTTTACATATGAGGAACCAAGATCCACTAATTTTTTCAATGTATTGCACCCAAGCTTCCGTACAACTCCATCACAAGGGTGAAATATTTGTAGAGTTGGCTTCTTACTGCTTAAAACAGGTGGTTGCCCTGGCCTGTGTGTGGCTCAGTTGGGTGGGCATCCTTCTGTGTACAAAAGATGGCTGGTTCTAAGGTCGGGAGCGGCAGTGGCCAGATCCGGAGCAGCTGGTTGTGGAACGGACCAGAGCAACAGAGGCCAGGCCCGGAGCAGCCAGGCCCGGAACAGCTCGCTCCTCGCTTGCCCCCACCCCAAGGCTGCCTCTCAGACATGGCTGGAAACTTTTGTGGGAACTTGAGGGTCTGCTGAATCAAGTGATGAAGGCTTAGATCTGGATATGTTGAGTTAGTATAGGGCTGGGGTGTTGATCTGTGAGTGCCTTGTGCGAGGCCTGGATGAGGTTGGTTGACCTATTTGGAAATGTCTTTTGTGTGAAGTGTATCTTTGGGCATGTGGAGGTATTATTGATATGAGAAAATGCTAAGTAACTGATTTACTATCTGAAAAGGGATTTACTATCGGGGAAAGGGAGGGAGGAAGAGACTGAACATAAACTGTGCACCTATGGATGAGGACAATGGGGGAGGGGAAGGGGGCGGAGGGTGGGGTGGGAACCTGGTGGAGGGGGGAAGAAATGAGGAACCTTTGTAATAATATGAACAATAAAGATTGATTTTTAAAAAAATATGGCTGGTTCTATTCCCCAGTCAGGGCACATGCCTGGGTGGGGGCTTAATACTAGGTGTTGTGCAGGAGGCAGCCCATCAATGTTTCTCTTTCATAGATGTTTCTCTTTCTCTCTCTCTAAAAATCAATAGAAAATATTAAAACAAACAAATAAAAACAGGTGAGTATGTATCTAGAGGCAATGTGTGTGGTTTAGGTGGCCTGTAAACTATGCTGGGTTCCCCAGAGGGATTGGGAAAGTTGAGATTTCTAGCCATCAAACTAATTTAATCTCGGTCTGCTGTTTTGGCTGCCTTAAATGTAGAAATGTAGTGAGGGTCACAACTCAGCATCAAAACTCAGTTGGAAGGATAAAACAGAGCAGCCTTTCCTAATTTTGTTGTTGTTGTTAATCCTCACCGGAGGATATTTTTCCATTGATTTTTAGGGAGAGTGGAAGAGAGAGTGAAATGTAGAGAGTGCCTGGGAAGGCACATGAACGTTTCTTTAATTATTGTCTGCTGAATCCAGTGGCACTGGCAGAGCCACATCCTGGAAACACACCTTGCCAGCTTGACCTTCAGCCTAGACTCTTTCATTCCTTTCATATGTGCCAAGCTCTCTTCCACTCCAAGGCCTTTCAATATACTCCCCGCTAACTGGTATGATCCCTCTAATCTTTGGTGGGCCAGCTAAAACTCATCCTTTGGTATTTCATAAGCCTTCAGTGGGAAATTATCTAGATTCAGGCCTGAGCACTAATGGTTCCTAGGTATTGTGTAATTTGGGTTTCATTATGTAAGTCCAGCCAAGCACCAGGAATTAACATAATCTAATACAAGAATGCACATAATCTTCTTTTGTCTTGACCTTTAGTAAAACTTCCTGAGTTTTTCTGTCTAAAATAAACACAGCTGTTTTGGCTCTGGGTCCCTGTCTATCCATCAGAGGACAGTGATCCCATCCAGCCCCAGCTTTTTCCTTCCTTCTCTGTCTCTTAATTTCATTTTCTGTTTCTCAGGAACTGAACTGCTCTCTAGCCACACTGGAAGCAGAGAAGAGAGAAATATTTACAGAGAAACATCTGTGTGAGAGAAACACATGGATTGATTGCCTCCTGCACGACCCCAACCATGACCTGGGCAGGGAGGAGCCTGCAACCAAGGTACATGCCCTTGACTGGCATTGAAGCCGGGACCCTTCTGTCTGCAGGCCCACGCTCTGTCCATTGAGCCAATCCAGCTAAGGGCACGTTGCCTAATATTTTTAAAATATATTTTATTGATTTTTTACAGAGAGGAAGGGAGAGTGATAGAGCTAGACCATCGATGAGAGAGAAACATCCATCAGCTGCCTTTTGCACACCCCCTACTGGGGATGTGCCCGCAACCAAGGTACATGCTCTTGACCGGAATGAAACCTGAGACCCTTCAGTCCATAGGCTGATGCTCTACGCTAAACCTAAACCGGCTAGGGCTGCCTAATATTTTTGAACAGCTTTATATGCAGATACAATTTACATACTGCAAAACTCGCCTGTTTTAAGTGTACAATGATTTTTAGTAAATTTACAGGACAACCATCACCGCAATCTAGTCATGGAATATTTTCATCACAGTGAAAAGATTCCTACTGTCTATTTACAATCAATCCCAGCCTGTTTCCAAATCAGCCTCATAAGTGTATTTTACAGAGATGAGATGACCTTATAGACCCTAAATAAGCCCTAAAAGGAACCCAGGATTGTACTCCCAATGACTATGAATATGGAGTATATATATATATGTGTGTGTGTGTGTGTTTTTTCAACATGCCAACTATGTCCAGGCTCGATCTGTGAGGAATTCCTTCCTGCTCTCACTGACCGAAACACAGTTAGCTGCCCTAGGTATTTCTCTAAATAAATGGTGCAGAAGCGGTAAGCGGGAGCCTCTAAACACGCAATGCGCGCATCTGTGTGGGAGATGAGCACCAGGTGCTTAGCGATGAGTAACGCGTATCCAAGGCAGAAGCCAGTCCGTGTCGTGTGCGCCTGCGCGGCTTCGTGAGCTCCTAGAAACCAGTCACGAAACCCCCCTGCTCGCCATCTGCCGGTTCTGCTGCTGCGGGGGCACCGCCGCCTCAGACCTGAGCGTCCACCCGTGACGCACAACGAACCCAGGCCCGGTAGGTCAACCCCACCTCCTCGCTTTCCCCCCACAACCCGGAGCTTGCTCGGAGCACCGAGATGGTCAGGTTACACGCAGGGGCTGCTAGAATGGGGCGCTCTGCCATAGCCACGCCTCTCCGCTTACTGGGCCGCATCTCCTTGGTCATTGAAGGGCTTGGCCCCGCCCCTTCTAGGTGACGTCAGTAGCCACGTACCACGTGCCTACGTGTTTCCAGCCTGAAAGCGGAAGTTACGCTGGGGGCTCGCGAGCACAGCGATGGGCCTGTAAGGATATAGGCCGCTTGAGGCAGGAGGGGCGGGCACACGGCGCCGGAAGTGGTCGTGCGGAGAAGAGATAGGGAAGAGGCTGGCGAACCAGCTCATTTGGTTGCAGGCAGCCGCTGGGGTAGGACGTGTTCTCCCTCCTCTCCGAGAGCCTGGCCCCTTTCCCATCCGATCCGGTCGACATGGATTTCAGGGAAATTCTCATGATAGCTTCTAAAGGACAAGGAGTTAGCAGCGTACCGGTAAGTAGCCGCTGGGACGCCCAGAGATGGAAATTTTAAAGTTGGAAATGTGTTATCGATCGGGTGGGAACTTCGAGGAGTCCATCCTCCTCTCGGCTCCGAGGGAGGAAAGACGTGAAACACACCCTCCCTTACTTTTCTTGGGCTCGTACTGCTGGGAACTCGGGGTGGAGAGGGGCTTGAGAAGAGTTGGGAGCCTTCCAGTGAGAGGTTTTGCCAGCTCAGGTGCCCCCGCAGGAAAGGGCTGTGCGGTTTGGGGGTTCCGCAGTTGCAGTTGCGTGAAAGCTGATGAGTGGAGTTGGTGCCTGGCACGCGGTGGGATCGAGCGTTTGCATTTTTCTTGCTTTCGGCATAAACTTCTGGCCGGAGTGGGGAGGAAGTATGTATATTTGAGAGTTCGGGGGTTTTAGAGACTTGGCTTGATAAGCCTTTTGGCTGATTTCCCGCCGAATTTTCGGGTCAAACATTTCGTGCTTTTCCCCCACGAACAAGTTCTTCTGATGTGTGGCCCCACCCACTTAACAAATGAAGTGATTAAGTTATCGGTTCCTGAGGGTCACTTTTTTGTACTGGAAAGATAAATGGAGCAGATTTCCACGAAATCCTTGGCCAACAGCACGGGTGAGAGCTAAGTTTTAGCTTCCGTTTACTTGTGGCCTTTCCGGATCTGTCTTTGTTTGAAATCTAGGTCTCATTTGCTTAGTAATGTTTGCCAAGTCGCTAGTATTCGCAGCGGCTTTTAAAGTCGAAACGCTGAAATGGTAGAGTGTGCCTGGTTTGCGGGGTTGTGGCTGCTTTGCATAAACTAATCATTTCTGGGTCCTCAGATGGTACCCACAAGACAGCTGTAAACCGATAAAAATTCATTGTGATACCTGCGGTTTGAGCACTGAGACGTAGAACTCAGTTAAAGTCAGTTCACCTGGAATTTATTGCTCTCTCACTGCGGTTTGCATTTCTTAGAATTTTTGTTTATTACCACGCTTTGTGTGTGTGTGTTTTCTCTCTTATACTTTTCTTGTCTTCTAATGCTGTCGCACTCTTTTGAAAACAGTGATCTAATTATAGTAAAATAACTGATAAATAAAACATATCCGTTTATTATCTGTCCAGCCATCTCCATCCCAAGTACTCTTACTAATCATTCCCTTAAGCCATGAGTCATTAGCTATGCAGGTTGAGGTTCTGGGCTTAAACCTTTGAAACCTTGAACAACAGAATTATTTCCCACATCTGTAAATTTCCTAGACAAGTCAATATTGAATTTTGTAATACTGAATCTTTGTGTTAGGTCCATATTTATTTCTAGATCTTTCTGAGTTTCAGTGTAGGTGAAAAATAGATGGTAATCCTATCTCTGATGCCCAGGAATAGTTTGTAGGAAAATTAGTCTTTTTTTAAAACACACACACACACACACACACACACACACACATTTAGGCCTTCATTGGCTGATTTTTGTATATGTCCTGATGGGGGATCGAACCCTTAACTTTGGTGTGTCAGGAAGACACTCTAACCAAACGAGCTATCCAACCAGGGCTCTTTTTAAAATTTATATACATATTTTTAGAGAGAGAGATGAAGGTGGAGAAACATAGATTTGTTGTTACACTTTTTTATGCATTCATTAATTGCTTCTTGTATGTGCCCTGACCTGGGATAGAGTATGAGGACCACACCCTAGGGCCAAGAGTTAATCATTTCTTATTCTAAAAACCATTAGCCTCTGGGAGAAAAGCAAAATGTTGCTAGAGCAGAACAGATTTCAGAATAACTGTAAATTTCAGAATATATGCTTTATTTATTGAGCTGCCTATGATTTGAATAATAAAGATTGAAAGCAGAAAGATAAACAGATAAATTGGTGAGGTCATTTAAAATTTAATGTTATGAAAACTTGCTTTCCCCTACCCTTCCCCAAAAAGTTAATAAGCTTAAAAGTTGATTTAGTTGGTAGCATTATAATCCTTATCTTTTTACATCACAAAAGAAATTGATGTAGAGGCAAAACTTTAAATTTAATCTGTGATCTTGATTCACCCTAATTATTCTAAGTTACATTCCTCATTAGCTTGAAGTCAAGTCTTTTGGAGCACACCAATGCAAACAATGTATACATAATAAGGCCCAGGAAAAATTCTTTCTTTTTGCAGGATTCTTTATTATTTTATATCGTTGACACTAATACAGATGCCCCTCCCCTTTTAACCCTTTAACCGTCTCCATCCAGCCCCTGCCCCCTGCCCTCCTCCGCCACCTTTACACACTGTGTCTATATGTTATGCATATATGTTCTTTGGCTGATCTCTCCATCTTTTTTTCACCCAGTCTCTCCATCCCCCTTCCCTCTGACTTCTGTCAGTCTGTTCCATGTAGCCATGCCTCTGGTTCTATTTTGTTAGTTTATTTTGTTCATTAGATTATTTTGTTCCACCTATAAGTGAGATCATATGGTATTTGTCTTTCTCTGACTGACTTTTTTTGCTTGGCATAATAATCTCCAGGTTTGGAGGATACTTTTTTCTTTTAAGTCAACTGGAGAGACATATTTTTACAAAATATATATTTAAAAAATTTTGGACACTTGTAAAGCATATAGAATGATAATATATACCTATATGCCCACACCTCACATTTAACATACATCAATATTTTGCCATATTTTTAAAAAAGAAAATTTTATTGATTTCAGAGAGGAAGGGAAAGGAACATCAATGTTGAGAGAGAATCATTGATCAGCCACCTCCTACATGCCTCCCACTGGGGACCGAGCCCTCGACCTGGGCATCTGCCCTGACCAGGAATCCAACGGTAACCTCCTTGTACATAGGTTACTGCTCAATCACTGAGTCACACTGGCTAAAGAAATAAAGCCTAATTGATATGTCTGAAGAGTCTCCCAAGCCCTGTCTCCTTTTTTAAAAATTATAACATATGGTACAGATCCTTTTGTTGTTGTTGTTGTTGTTGTTTTGTGTGTGGTTGTTTGTTTGTTTTTTGGTTTGTTAATTCTTATCCCAGGATATTTTTCCATTGATTTTTATTTTTTATCTTTATTTATTTAGTGTGTGTGTAAGGGAGGGGGAGAGACACACAGAGAGAAACATTGATGTGGTTGCCTCCCACACGCACCCCTGTGGATCAGCCTGCAACCACAGCTACTGACATACATGCCCTTGTCTGGAATCAAATCCAGGACACTTCAGTGTGCAGGCAGACACTATCCACTGAGCCAAATTGGCCAAGGCAATATAGATTCTTATAAAAAAAAAAAAAAAAAATCCCTGTAAGCCACCATCCAAATCAAGAAACATTTCAAGACATATTCACACAGTCAGCTTGACATAAATTTGGTTGATTGAGTTTCTAGAACCAGTCTTTGCCATTATTGGCAGTGACATCACCATCCCTCTCTAGTCCATGATTCCTTTTTCCTTTTTAGCCATCTTCTTCCCCATCTTCCTTCCATTCAGATCCTGTCAGTCTTGATGTTCAGATTTAGTCTTCAGAGCTTCTATGGCAGACCTTTACTACAGGAAGTAAAGCATGGATTAGATTGAAATCCAAGGGAGGCAGGCTACTAGTAAAATCTGAAACACCTGTACAGCCATTTCCAAGTCTTTGCAGGGCTTTATTTTTGAGAGGTGCCTGTGGTTACCTGGCTTGAGAATCAACATTTATTTCCCCATGGGACATCTTTCTTTTTTCTGTTGTTTTCTTTTTTAAATAATTAGATCTTTTTTATAATGTTTTAGTTAAAACAAAGAAAGGATTGCATCATGCCTAGAAATATTTGGCACACTATATTTCCCAGTGGGCAACTGAGTGCAGAATAACAGCTGATCAAGGTGATGTAACCAGTCATTGTCATTAGCTCTGCTTATATTTAAACAAAAGACTTTTTTTGTAAACTTACACGTAAGGTTTTTCTCCCTGCCTTCCTCTAGCAAAAACAAACCATTTGTCTTGTTTTGATAGAATAGTAGAGCTTAGATTATGGGTTCTTCTAGGTTTCAAATAACTATATTTAATGGCTTGCAGTGCATGAGACAGGTTACATGGTCTTTCTCACAGTGAAACAGTGAAAATCATCCCAGACAAGATAACAATAGTTCTGATGTGACCCTCAAACCAAAAAGTAAAGGGAAGCCTTCACTTGATGCCAGATAAATAAGGATTTGAGAAAAAGAGAGGTGCCGAAAATGGAGCCCAGGAACCTGGGAAGGCAGTTACAGATGTCTTCAGGAGCTGATAGTGTAAATTCTTCAAGTAGTCTGGTTGTAAAATGATAGGTGACAAAGCACCACATATTCCAAAGAAACCTACTATTTATTACAGTAATTATAGTTCCTTTTAAAGAACCCCATGAGCCTTGGCCGGTTTGGTTCATTGGGTAGAGTATCTGACCCTCAGGACCGCAGCTTCCATCCCTGGCCCCAATTCGGGCGCCTGTGGGAGGCAGCCTATTGCTGTCTTTCTCTCTCCCACTCCCTCACTCCCTCCCTTCCACTCTCTCTAAAAATCAATGGAAAACATATCTTTGGGTGAGGATTAACAATCAATAAATAAACAAACGAACAGTATGAGCCAACAATAAAATTTCTACAGTCTGTCACTTTGTAAAACTTGATCTATAATCGTTATAACTGGATTACTCCCCATTTTTGGATCTGAAAATGACTTTTCCAGTGCCTAGAAATATGGATTTCTAGCCTAGAGCTATACTTCTCAACCAGTATTTTAGTGAAAGGATTTTTTGGTTTTTTTAAATATACTTTATTGATTTTTTTTTTTTTACAGAGAGGAAGGGAGAGGAGAGAGAGAGAGCTAGGAACATCGATGAGAGAGAGACATCGACCAGCTGCCTCCTGCACACCCACACCAGGGATGTGCCCGCAACCAATGTGCATGCCCTTGGCCGGAATCGAACCTGGGACCTTTCAGTCAGCAGACCGACACTCTATCCACTGAGCCAAACCGGTTTCGGCCTTTTTTTTTTAAATCCTCAACTGAGGATTTGTTTGTTTTAATTTGAGAGAGAGAAAGAAACATTGATCAGTATTGCTTCCCGTATGTGAACTGCTGGGATCAAGTCCCAACCTAAGTATGTGCCCTGGCCAGAAATGGAACCTGCAACCTTTTAGTATGCCAGATGATGCTCTAACCAACTGAGCCACCTGGCCAGGGCTAGGGCAAGAGTCTTTTAGAAACTAACATCCCCACAGAAATTATTTCTCTTCCTCATCATTACCTAGATAATCTCTTTCTGAATAATAATAGCAATAGCAATGAACATTTATAGTGCTTACTCTGTGCTAGACACTGTTCTAAGCACTTTATATACATATTAATTAATTAAACCATTATAATAACCATATAAGGAAAGTTGTTTTACAGATGAGACCCAGAGAGATGTAGAAACCTGCCTAGAGTCACACAGTTAATAAAGTGACATGGCTAGTGTGTTCACCACCTCAAAGTCTCCATTCATCACTATCCTCTCTAAACCCTACTCTACCTTCCCATCCCCACCCCCAATTTTCTTAATATGACCATGACAATATAGTCTCAATATAGTCTCAATGTTTTAAAGTGATTTAGTGTGTTCTAAGTCTGTTGGCTTTAAAATTATAAACCTTGGCAAAATCTCCAATACTGTTTTTAAATGGTATAAGCTTCATTGTTTTGGATCATTCATTGGGGTCCAGCAGAATGACTAAGCTGGCTTACAGTATAATGAAATGGATATACTTAGGATGAAAGAAACTCTGGTCCAGCTGCTTTTCATGAAGCTGAAATGATGAAGCAGCCTGGTGCCTTGAATCAGATTCAGTATTGGTGGGAGCATCTTGATGTGCTGCTGCTAGAGCTAAATGTGACCATCTGATGTAAGGGAAAGTGCCAAGTAGTTATTCTGCCTTGTAACTAGAATATATTGTAATTCCAGCTTGGGGCTTTCTTCAACATTTTTATTGCGATATAATTCACACAGCATAAACCCCACCCACGTAATGTGTAAAATCCATAGAGTTGTGCATCCGTCACCAATATCTGATTCCAGAACATTTTCATCATCCTCAAAAATAATTTCTTCTCTTTTAGCAGTCATTTCTCCCCCATCTCTCTCTCCACTCAGCCCTAGCAACTACTAATCTACTGTATGAGTTTGCCAATTCTGGATATTTCATATAAATAAAATCATATACCCAGTGTAACATTACATAGTGATAGATATTATAAAATGAGGTAAAGTGTATAGGCCATAAGCAAATGATTAAATAAGTGATTATACAAAGTATATAAGATTTTTTTAAAATTTTGAAAACCTCCATGAATTTTTACTTGACTCTATTAAATTTGAAAATAGACACCTTCAAAGGCCAAGAGAAGACCTTTCAGAGAATGCTTTCTAAGTAGTTCCTAATATCCTTGAACTGAGAAATTAGAATTGTTTCTATGGCTTAACTAATTAAGAGATCATAGTTTTTATGCCCATTAAATGTTTGACGAGGGTATCATTTTAATTCTTTTGGAGTAAAAGCAGAATATCCTAGAAATTAAAAAATGACAATTATGTAAGTAAGTTTAAAATGATGGTAATGTAATTTTTTTATCCTGTAGTCAGTGTTGACTTTCCTATTCATTTATATAAAGTGAAGGGGGTCATTGCTCAGATAAAAATTTTGAAAGAAAAATACTTTCTCAAATAGTTTGAAAGAAAAATATACAATATGTGGCTTTGATGGTCAGTTTTATGCTAGCTTTAGGAATTCCTCTCTAAATTTTTGTTTATTGATTGATGAGAAAGAGACATCTATTTGTTGTTCCACTTAGTTAAGCATTCATTGGTTGATTCTTGTGTGCCCTGAAAGGAGATCAAACCCGTAATCTTAACATATCAGGAACCAGCTAAGATACACAGGTAGAGCAGGATTTTTTTTCTCAGTGAATCTGAGTTCCTGAAAACCCCCTCCTTGTTTCTCCTTTGAGCTCTGCCTTTCTTGTGTTTAAATTCCTAGTTTGTGTTTCCTAATTTGCTGTATAGGTAGCTCTGGCTCTGCCATGATTTTAAACTGATGCACAAATACTTTTTATTCTAATAGCTATTTTTTTTAAATAGTTATATATTGTGATATGATTTGGAAAAATATAACTAGCCTTCTAACCTGTCACTTCATAGATATTATTACTTGAGGTAAAGCTGTAATACTAAGTCATAGTGTTAAATCTACGTATTTTCTTAAAATTAATCTACAATAATAAAAGTATAACATGCTAATTAGACCGACAGCCGAATGACCTTCTGGACGTCATTCCAGGCATTCTTCCTGACTGAGGTGGCTGAGTCCGAGGCAGAGATGGTTAGGGGCGATCAGGCAGGCAGGCAGGTGAGTGAGTGATTAGGAGCCAGCGGACCAAGATTGTCCAACTGCCAGGATCGGGCCTAAACTGGCAGTAGGATATCCCCCACGGGGTCCTAGATTGGAGTGGGTGCAGGCTGGGCTGAGGGGATACCCCCCCCCCTTCCTGTGCATGAATTTCTGTGCACTGGGCCTCTAATTTTAAATAATTAACATTGCCCTGGCTGGTGTGGCCCAGTTGGCTGGAGCATTGTCCCATACCCCAAAGGTGGCAGGTCTGATTCCGATCAAGGTTCCATTTCATCAGGGAACATGTGGGAGGCAACAGATTGATGTTTCTGTCTCACATCAATGTTGCTCGTTCTCCCCCTCTCCTTTCTTCTCTCTAAAAATCAATTTAAAAAAAAAAAAAAAGACTCTCTAAAAGTAAATTAACACTAACATGTATATTGGCATTTTTCTGTGAGAAACACTGTATATAAGCTTTGATTTGGAAGGCAAATCTATTGTAATCCAAGACAATTTTATATACCTAGTTAGGTAAGCAATTAGGATAAACATCTTTCTTTTTAACCAGAGACTTCAAGAGATAGGTGATGGGATTATTACAAGTAGCAAAGCCACTCTTCAATGCTCCTTCTCTTCAGTCTCCCTTTACCTCTCCTTTCTCCTTAAGTGGATTGGGCTCCAATCCACTGTGGAAAGGATCTACAACTAAATTTACAAAAATAAGAAAATTTTTTTTTAAAAGCATCTCATTATGACTCAGCCAAGAGGACTGGGAAAGAACTCCGGATGCTCTTGGGATTTCTCTGTCAGGGATGTGTCAGTTCTCAGCATTGTTATTATGCAGGATTTTCAGGTTGGTTAGGGCTTGCCTTCTTGGCCAGTTGCTTGTTAGTAGACTGACTTAGCTGGAACTTCCAGCCTGTTTGAAGATGCCTTGTGTTTGACAGCCATATGGTAAACTTGGATCCTTTGGCTTTCCTCCAGGAATCTCATACACACTTTGGGAATCACTTTTTGGTCCCTATGTAGCTGAATTTGTTCTCAGAGTTAGTGTTTCTTTTTTAACTAACACAGCAACAGGTTCAGTGGATAAGGATATCATCTGTTGCCAAAACCGGTTTGGCTCAGTGGTAAAGCATTGGTCTGCGGACTGAAAGGTCCCAGGTTTGATTCCAGTCAAGGGCATGTACATTGGTTGCGGGCACATCCCCAGTAGGGGGTGTGCAAGAGGCAGCTGGTCGATGATGTTTCTCTCTCATCGACGTTTCTAGCTCTCTATCTCTCTCCCTTCCTCTCTGTAAAAAATCAATAAAATATATTAAAAAAAAAAAAAAAAAAAAAGAATATCATCTGTTTACTTGTAATAAAACAAATTGGGGAGGGCACTTTAAACATCTTATTTCCTAGCCCATACATTTAATGTGGATGGTCCTAGAGATGAATCATCTCTGTCTGAGTTATTAGATGTTTATCATACTTCTTTAATGATAGTTACTTATAAAATGAAAATGTTTTTCTTTTCACAGTTCAAATTAACAATATTCTAGTGTTAGTCATTTCCCAATGCAATTACATAAGAAGTGAAGCCCAGAGAAGTAGCACCTGTGTCAGGATAATGTTAGCACTTTTTGGTTGGTCAGAGTAAAATCTCATGTTGTAGGCAAAACCATGTAGCCATGAGTCCCTACTAGAAAAATCAGCTGGAGTAGAGTATTCAGAAAAGAACATAGTAGGTGTGAGTAGTAGTGTTTTCTGCTTGTTTGAAAAGTTGGACTTAATTCTGAAGAAGGCTGATTTTTTAAAATTTTATATTGACTGGTGATGGTGATCTTTAAATCTTTTAGAAATAATGTCACAAATACACCCAGAAATTATGTTCTACCAGCTGTTTTTCTGGGAATCCCTTAGCCTAGTCAAGTTGACACAAAAAGTTTACTATCACAGTCCACAGTCAAACTGTTGCCTGAAATTGGGTTTCTCTTCTGAAAGTGGTCTCACAGGCTGTCATGGAGCCCAGCCAAAAAACCTTCACCTCCAGTAAGACCTCATTGTATGGAGAAGGCTGATTTTTTAAAATCAGAATTTTAAAGCAATCTGTTCTAAGTGGTGGGTTGTTTTTTGTTTGTTTGTTTGTTTGTTTGTTTGTTTTACTTTTTAGCCTTCAGTTTAGGTTTTCTGAATTTCTCATCTATGCATTATTTGAGATAAACTGCACATAAAAATAGTCATTCATAATCATATTTAGCCTGGACCTTTATAGCTAAAAGCTTTAATGTGGGTTATTTGATGTCTTAATTATTCAGAATAGGTATTTCAGTCAATACTTACATCTCCTATTGCTTGCCACAGTGTCTTACACCTAATAGACAATATATTTTTAAAGTTGAATTGATTATAACTTCTTTTTTTCTTTTCTTTTTTTTGTAGAAAAGGTATAGTTTGGCAGTAGGTCCTGCCAAAAAAGACCCAAAAGTTAAGGGTGTCCAATCAGCAGCTGTACAAGCTTTTCTCAGAAGAAAAGAGGAGGAACTCAGACGAAAAGGTACGTTATCTCTAGCCTTAATCTCAATTTTATTTTGTTATTTTGTTGTTGTTGTTCTGTTTATTTTTTGTTTTCTTAGTCTTCCAGTGAGGATATTTTTTTCATTGATTTTAGAGAAACTGGGAAGGAGGGAGGAACATAGCTGCAAGAGAGTCAGATCAATTGGTTGCTGACCATGAGGGATCCAATCTGAAACCCAGGCAGTGCATGCCCTTGACCAGAATCAAACCCACCACCCTTCTTTGCGTGGGCAGTCTAACTACTGAGCCACGCCATCCAGAGCTTATTCTTAATTTTAATGTCTTCCACCATCTCAGCTAGCTTATACTTTCCAATGGATATTCGTAATAACTTAACAGGCTAATGGATTTGTTGCGAATGTGTATGAGTCAACTGTATTTATTTATAGCAGTATATATGGTTTTTTTTTAATATATATTTTTATTGACTTCAGAGAGGAAGGGAGAGATAGAAACTTCAATGATGAGAGAGAATCATTGTTCAGCTGCCTTCTGCACACCAGCCCTTACGGGGGATCAAGCCCACAGCCTGGACATGTGCTCTGACCAGGAATCAAACCATGACCTCCTGGTTCATAGGTCAACACTCAACCACTGAGCCACACCAGTCGGGTCATATGTTCTTGTATTGATCATTTGTAACAGTGTTATCTTTTATTCCCTCTTAAATAAAAGCTTTTTGGGAAAAGTGATTATATCTTCCAGTTGATTATAGTAATACCTATAAGAACTCCATTCTTTGACTTTGGTTCTGAATCTGCTTCTAGCCTATTTCGTATTTTAATTTCTTCTTGTTATTATTAAAAGTATTATCTAAAAAATTAAAATAGAGGCAATTTTTGAAAACCTGTAAACTCAAGAAGTAATTTTACTTCATGAGAAGGAAACTGATTCAATAAGTTTAAGTATTCATGGATTCTAATAACTATTAAGTTAGTACTACTGTTCCCTTAACTTGGTATATTTATTTGGTATGAACTATTTTCTATACTTAAAGTTAAAAGTCAAATCTCACTTGCTTAGTCATATAGAAAAACCCATATGTGACCCACTCATTGTGTTAAGATGACTCAACTGATACTCATTCAAATGACTTTCTCATTTGATTCCTAGATGTCTTCAAACTGATTGTGTGTGTGTGTGTGTGTGTGTGCTTTTAAAATGTATTTCTATTGATTTTAGAGAGGAAGGGAGTGGGAGAGAGAAAAACATCAATGATGAGAGAGAATCATTGATCAGCTGCCTTCTGTGCTGCTCCTACTGGGGATCAAGCCTCAGCCCAGGCATGTGCCCTGACCGGGAATTGAACTGTGACCTCCTGGTTTATTGGTCAATGTTGAACCACTGAGCCAAGCCAGCAGGCTGTATTAGTGTTTTTTTGTTTTGTTTTGTTTTTTGTTTTTTAAAAAATATATATATATTTTATTGATTTTTGTACAGCGAGGAAGGGAAAAAGAGAGTTAGAAACATCAATGAGAGACAGTCATGGATCAGCTGCCTCTTGCACATCTCCTACTGGGGATATGCCCGCAACCAAGGTACATGCCCTTGACCAGAATCGAACCCGGGGCCTTCAGTCCCCAAGCCGACACTCTATCCATTGAGCCAAACCGGTCCCGGCTGTATTAGTGTTTTTTTTTATTGTTTTTTGTTAATCCTCACTGGAGGATATTTTTTCCATTGATTTTAGAGAAAGGGAAAGGGACAGGAAAGGGGGAAAGAGGAGAGAGGAAAACATTGATGTGAGAGAGCCACATTGATTGGTTGCCTCCTGTGTGTGCCCCAATTGGAGCAGGGAACCCACAACAGATTCAAACCCTTGACCCTTTGATTTGTGGGTCGACCCTCTAACCACGGAGCCACACTAGCTAGGGCCAACCTATATTGTTTCAAACTACATGTGCTTATGTTTTGACCACCAACTGATTTTTTTATAAACATACTGTTATCTTGAGACCTTGAAATATGTTTTGTTGTTTTTTTTTGTCCCTTTTAGCCTTAGAGGAAAAAAGGAGAAAAGAAGAACTAGTGAAAAAGCGAATTGAGCTAAAACATGACAAGAAAGCAAGAGCTATGGCTAAGAGGACAAAGGACAATTTCCATGGTTACAATGGGGTTCCTGTTGAGGAAAAGTCAAAGAAAAGACAGGCAATGGAAAGCCATAATCAGGGAACAGACCAAGAGTATGAGATGGAAGAAGAGGAAGAATTCTTAGAATACAATCAAGCAGCATCAGAGCAGGAATATGAAGAAGAGCAAGAACCTCCTCCCAAAGTTGAAAGTAAACCAAAGGCCCCCCTTAAAAGTGCCCCACCACTCATGAACTTCACTGAACTACTCAGGCTGGCTGAGAAAAAGCAGTACGAACCAGTAGAAATCAAGGTAGTGAAGAAAACAGAAGAGAGGCCTATGACTGCACAGGAACTTAAGGAGCGAGAATTTCTTGAACGAAGGCACAGGAAAAGAACACCTGAGGCAGATGCAAGACTACCTCTGACCAAAAAGGCACCCTCTCAGACAGAAAGTATGGGCACAAAACCTAACAGACTTTCTGGGGACAAGCATCCTTCTTCCAAGGGTACTCCCCTCCCTCATGCTGAGAAGAAATCCAGACCCAGCAGCGCAGCTAATGAGAAACATTTAGGTTTGTTTTCATCCAAATCCATGCCGGGAGAGAAGACCAAAGTAGGACCTAGCAACTGCTCCCAACGCTCGCTCCGGGAGGACCATGACAGGCCTGTTTTCAATGGCGCTGGAAAGACCCACTCAAGCACCCGTTCACCAAGTGTTCCAAAGACTTCTGCTAAAGGAACGCAGAAACCTGTTACTGAGCACAAAGCCAAAAAATCTCCCCCCCATCCTAGCCATTCCAGACCTGGACCCGTGGTCACCCCACATAAGACTAAGAGTCCAGGTGTCAGGCAGCCAGGCAGCAGTTCCAGTCCAGCTCCTGGGCGGCCCAACATAGTGAATGTTAAGCCTACGGTTAGTTCTAGCTCTATGCTCAGGCGCCAGAATGGCAGCTCCAGCTCAGGATCTGAGAGATCAGTCAGTGGGACCAAGAGGCCAGTCAGTGACTCAAATCCTCCTGGAAGGACAGTCAGCAGTACATGTAGCTCTGGAAGACCCATCAGTGGCTCAGGTGGTTCTGGGAAGTCACTGGTAAGCTCTGGTGGCCCCGGGCGGCCTGTGCACAGTCCACATGACCGACGGCCAGTGAGTGGCTCAGTGCCCCCCAGGCAGTCAGTCAGTGGCCCTGGGCAATCAGTGAGTGGCTCAGCTCCAGCTGGACGGACTGTCAGTAGTTCAGGCCCTGGAAGACCAGTGAGCAGCTTGGGACCTGGACGAATAGTTAGTAGCTCAGGTCCCCCCCATAGACCCAAATGCACCGTTGTCTCAGAAACAATATCATCTAAGAATATCATTACCCGGCCCAGCATTGGACAGATGAATGGAATGAAGCCTTCCTTGGCTGGCTACAGATCTGCACAAGGTAAAAATGCCCCTCTCCCTAAGAGTATCTGTCATTAGGAAATTGGAAGACACACCTTTTTAAAATATAACCAGAAACCCTATAATCCTTTGTGGGTATTCGTATATTGACAGAATCCTGATTTGATTTTTTTTTTTTTTTTTTTTTTTTTTTTTGTCTGTCCCTGAGAGTTCCTTTAGTGATCATAACTGGGAAAAGTCTTTAGAAAGAGACTTACCTAGATCCTCTGTGTTTATCCCAGTAATGTTTCCAAGTTTAATAACCTTATTTCTGTGATTTGTAAGACAGTGAGTGTATATACCTAAATCGTTCAATGAGTAAATTCACCTTTTCATGAGGACTAGAGAGACCTATCTTCAAGCATTGGGGTATTTGTAAGCTTGAAGCCTTTTGGCGCATTATTTATTCATCACATGTTTATATTTGTTAAGTACCAGTATGTTCCAGGAACTCTTTTAGACTTCCCTTGTGTTTCTTCTCCTTAGAGTGCTCAACATTAAAGCTCTAGCTATTAGTTCTTTAGGATTCTGTTGTCCTAGGATCTTTTGTGGCACCTACCAGCTGCTTGGTCATAGTTCTTCATGGTAATATGTACTTGTGAAAGTGCTTGTTGGGCACCATCTATAATAATAAAAGCATAACATGCCATTTAGACCGATGTCCTTCCTGATGAAGCCGGGGCTGCGAGGGAAGCCCAGGTCCTGGGTGCCTGCCGGCAGCCAGAGGGAAGCCCAAGTCCCAGGTGCCAAAGGGAAGCCAGTGCCGGCAGCTGGGGGTAGGAAGGCCTACTCTTGCACGAATTTTGTGCATCAGGCCTCTAGTCCTATATAATAAAAGGCTAATGTGCAAATTGTCCCCTCAACCGGGAGTTCGACCAGGAGACAGGACAGGCCTGCCAATTGCCTGCAGTCTCTCTCTCTCTCTCTCTCTTTATCTCTCTCACACACACACACACACACACACACACACACACACACACACACACCAGTCGGGGCTGACCAGGCCCCACTTGTGCACAAATTCGGGTACCAGGCCTCTCATGGAGAATATAGAAAGAAACAAAAGATTCTGATCCCTGCTTTTAACTTCCTAATTTAATTAAAATATTGGTTCTCAACCAAGGATGATTTTGATCCCCAGTGAACATTTGGCAATGTCTAGAGACATTTTTGATTGACACCACTGGGGATGGGATGCTATTGGCATCTGCTAGACAGAAGGCAGGAATGCTGCTATTATCCTACAATGCACAGGACAGCTTCCTCATAACAAAGAATTATCTGGCCCAATATGTCAGTAATGCCGAAGCTGAGAAAGAAGCTCTGAGCTAATGAGACAAGCCATGAATACTAAAATTTTAGAAGAACAAAAGGAATGTCTGTAATCAGGGACAAGAAAGCAGTTCCCAGATGTTGGTCTATTGATCAGTGTCAATCTTTTGCTAAAATTTAATCAGTCTTTTGGAAAAATGACAAAAATAAGGGTAATATAGTAAATTTTTCCTAAAGTAAAATTTTACTCAATTTGAACAGTTTCCAGTAATTCTGAGAATCTTTCCTACTTTGTTGGACTTTTTAAAAATGTAATGACATTAATGGTGATAATAGATAGTAGATTGTTACCTATGGTGTCTTTTCTTTGTGATCCTATAGCTATTTGTAGTTTTTTTAATGTTGCAAATTTTTCAAGTCCAGAAGAATGGAAACTACTAAGCTAGAAAATGTAAGACATAATAAGTCCTGGGATATACAGGAATTTTATTCCTTGTGGATACCATGATGTAGGAAAGACTTTATGCCTTGCACTAGCTTACTGGCTCAGGTTTTTGAGAAGACCATCTTAATGAGTTTTCAAACTGTTAATTTACATAGAACTTTGTTGGGACTATTATAATTTTTTTTGGGGGGGGCTATTTTAAGTTTTAATGCTTTTATTAATAATGGCTTTTCTGTTCCTAGGTCCTCAAAGGATTCCCTTCCCTAGTGGTTACAAAAGACAGCGAGACTATGAAGAGGAGGAAGATGAGGACTATGACTCCGAAATGGATGATTTTATCGAAGATGAAGGAGAATCTCAGGAAGAAATATCCAAGCACATTCGTGAAATCTTTGGCTATGACCGAAAAAAGTAAGGCTAAAGAATATTTAGATATACTTTTCATTTTTTTTTTTTTAATTTTACATTTTATTTTTTATAGAGAGGAAGGGTTTGGCTGGTGGGCGTGGTTTGTGGGTGTAGCGAAGGTATGGTTATTTGCATATTACTCTTATTACATAGGATGATATTTGGAAGGATTAAATGTAGTGGTGTGTATATATAGAACAGAAAGGCCGTACCACATTAGTTAAGTTATATATTCTTTATCAAGCCATTAACCTATATGCTTCAGTCTCTTTTCTAAGTCCTTCCCTACCTCATGATGGTCATGAAATTCAAATGAAATTTAAACAAAATAATTTTCACATATATTGTGCTTTCAGGATTTTAATATAAACTATCATGTAAGTAGAGGTGAGTTGAGTAAGCATTGGATTGGTACCTTCATCAGCATTAGATTCAGGAATAGTTGTCTTCTGGTAGTAATAAGGGCTCATTTAATTTGTTTTTACTTCAGAAATCCACCTCTACCCATCCTTTGCAAGGAAGAGTAACCCTAAGCATGTTTGATTTAGTTGTCAAGATATTGATTTTAGCCCTAACTATCAATAGTTTGGCTCAGTGGATAGAGCTTCAGCCTGTGGACTGAAAGGTCTCAGGTTCGATTCTGGTCAAGGGCATGTATCTTAATTGCAGGACATCCCCAGTAGGGGGTGTGCAGGAGGCAGCTGATCAATGTTTCTCTCTCATTGGTGTTTCTAACTCTCTATCCCTCTCCCTTCCTCTCTGTAAAAAATCAATAAAACATATATATTTTTTAAATATGTTAATCTATAATAATAAAAACATAACACACTAATTAAAAAAAAAGATGTTGATTTTTAAGACAGCAGGATTTAGTTCCTTTAGAAAAATGAATTTTTGTTCATTTTTTTAAACAATTTTGATTTCCTCTCTTCAGATACAAAGATGAAAGTGATTATGCCTTACGTTACATGGAGAGTAGTTGGAGAGAACAGCAGAAGGAAGAAGCAAAAAGGTAAGTAAAAAACTTACATTTGTGTTGGCATGTCCTAAAAACTCGTATTTGCTGCTTCAGTTCTACCATTGTGAGCAGGGGCTTTGGGCCACACAATTCTGAATTCTGTCCTGCTTGCTTGTTGTGAGGCTTTAGACAAATTCCTTAGCTTTTCTATTTCTTGTTTTCTTGTTTGTAAGATGAGAATGTCCTATTTTTACTGCTGGGGGCATTGTGAGGGTTAAGATAATACTGACACATTGCCTTGGGGCAGTGCTTCATCCATGTAGACACAACAGCTGTTTGAAGCCACCTGGGATCTCAGCAGAGCATGGTCTTATTTTTTGTTCCCCATCCTTTGACATCAGACACATCTCATTCTTGCCTACCCTGTGCCACTGCTGGCCTCAGGGACCTGATAAGGGATATTAAATTCCCTCTGATTCCTGTTTAGCTATCTGGTAGCAAACTAATGATAATTTCTTGGGTAGTGGTAACCAATGATTACTTTGGTTTATAGCATTAACTTGTTGAAATAATTCATGTCAGTCTCAACCCACTAGTCTTGTAACTAGGTTATCAAGCTAAAGTATTGGAAAGGGGCAAGCATGGAATGTTATTTTATTTTTGTATAAGTATTTATTTTTTTTTAAGATCTGTTGAGATAATTCTACTTTACTACTTTAAGAGGAAAATAAAATTTTGAGGTTGTGAGGGGTTTTTTTCTTTTTTAAATATATTTTTATTGATTTTAGAGAGGAAGGGAGGGCAAGAGAGAGAAACATCAATGAGGGATAATCATTGATCGGCTGCCTCCTGCACACCCCTTACCAGGGGTGGAGCCTAACCGGAAATCAAACCATGACCTACCTACTGGTTCATAAGGTCAGTGCTCAAACAACTGAGCAACAGCACGCAAGCTGTGAGGTCTTTTTTCCACTATAATTTGAGGTAATAGCATGGGTCTTGGTAGTAATTTTGAGGGCATGCTACATTCCATCTGAGCTCCCAGTGGAAATTTCATTCTTGCTTTTTAAAGAAAATAGAATCTTTGTCCTACTCTATATAAGCAGCTGGCTTATGGGGGGCGGCAGAGCAGATTTTGTGGATGACCTGCTGCTCTCCAATACTACCGGCAGTATTAGAACAAACAGTCCCTTTCTGGGGGCGGGAAGGGGGGAGTTGACGATGTTGTAGTATTGACAAATACCTTTTTTTCTTTTTCTTTTTTAACAGTCTAAGACTAGGTATGCAAGAGGACTTAGAGGAAATGAGACGGGAGGAAGAAGCAATGAAATGCCGAAAGGTCAAGAAACTGAAAAAACGTTAGCTGCTGCTTTTATTTATTTTTGTGAAACTCTGGAGCGACTCTGCTGCAAAGAAGTCCTGCCTACGGAGTGAAGAAGCCCATTATCATTTTAGATTTATACTTGGGTCTTCAAGGACAAGGAATGGATACTGTATATTTTGAGCATAAAGTATTTTCAAATACTTTTCGGGGTGAAATCTGTAGTGCAGATGACATAACGCCCAGTGAGCATTCTTAGGAAGTGAACTGCTCACAGGTGCCGGCCTTGATCCTGATGAGCTATGCACTCTAATGTGGGGCCCACACAACAGGCAGCCAATCATTTGTTCCTTTGCTATTTTAAAAAGGAAAAAAGATTGCCTCTTCCATAAATCTGTTGATGGGTGAGTAGGGCAATGGCCGGCTCCCAAACTTATTTTGTCTTTTTATAAGAAATCTGGCCCTTCCATGAATGTTGCCAGCAATAAAGTGACCTGTTCTAATCTATATGTTTGGACTGAGAACTTGAAAATGTAGAGTAAGCTTTATAATTATATGGATGTTATCTCTGTGACTCTGAAGTAAAAAGTAGAATAAATTATATTGTATTCTATATTCATTTATTGGATGCTGAGCATTCTTATTCACTGATTTAGGTGATTAGGCAATTAACCAAAAAAATTTCAAGTTAAAAAACAAGTTATGCCATTTGGTGTAAGAATATTCTTTTCCAAGTTTTCCTTTCAGAATTATTTTAAAATAGACAATGTTACTGTGCTGATTTTTATCTTAAAAGTCATTTTATATTGAAGAAAAAATATTTTATTCAAAGATTAGAGTTGAAAGAGTAATAGTTTAAAAAAATAAGCAAGTGACATGTGAGGCAACCCATACTCCCCCATTATAAAGGTATTTTGGAATCGAAGGTGCCCTTGTATTTCTTGATGTTAATGACTGCATTTTTATCTTAAAATTACTTAGCAATTAATGGCAAAAAACAAAAACTAAATTCATGTGTATCAAGAGCACCATCACCTCTTTTTGCTCATATTGCACTTTTATTTCAAACTATGCACTGTGAAGAGATTGTTTGCCCAGGTTGAAAAAGATGTTCTCTGTTACTGGTGGTGTACTGGGCTGTGGAACTTGCTTCATTCTTACCTTTCTTTAGACTTGCTCTCTCACATAAGCCTCAAATGCAAGCAATTCTCAGGCTGACTTGGGTTCTAGCTGGAGAGAAGCCAAGTCTCAAGAAAAGTCAGTGACAGAAAATGAGATATGAACATTTGTTCTTGAGGCTAAATGTGGAGGGTTGGGGACAGAGGGACACAAGCTTACAGAACACTTCTATAATAAAGATTGTGGCTATTGGATGGTGGGGGTTAAGTAGTAAAGGTTGTCCTACAAAGAATCCTTACTATTTAGTAGGTCCAAAATTTGTTTTGTGCTATTACTTTTTATTCAAAAAACTTTATTTTTCAAGTTTGGATATTATAAGTGACCATTTTTAGCCTTCCTTAATGAGTTGACCATGGGACTCAATCTCTTAACCCTGACTCATTTTGAATTGAGTTTCAAATTTTGAAAGTGCAAAGAGTTAATTTTGAACTTGAGTCCAATGAAAGGTGTCTTCATCACTAGGAATAGCACCCTTCCTAATGCTCCACATAGACTGTTACACTGGTGGCAGAAAATCCTATTAACTGCCTCACAGATCTCAAATACCTTCAGTTCAGTGAAATTGGTTTGAGGGTAGTGTGATGTTCCATATAATAAAACAGGTTTGGGACATTATTTCCTTTGTTGCCGTGTACCTCCTCCACCCTTTCAAATGCATTTTTCTTGGATTAATTTTTTTTTCAATATTGAAATTGTCTATTACAATCAAGTGCTTGTCATAGTTGAAAGATTCTTAGTGGCTTAAAGTTTTCTAGCACTTTACTCGATGACATTTGTACAGAAAAAGGCACCATTGTGCAAGGTAAAAGTTCCAGAACTTGGTAAAAAGTCAGGTTGTGTCCTTATGCGTCTATCACTTCTGAATGTTTCCTCTCTAATATCAATGTTGATTTTTAGTAATCTGCAACATCAACATTATAAAAGGGCACTTCTGTGGTTCATTTTTTTTTTTTTTTTTAAGTTCTGAGTCTTTAAATTAATCTTGGCCTTGTTTCCAAATCTTGTCTTCCATTTTATTCTGCAATTCCTGACCACAAACTTCACAAACCTTTGAAGAAACTGGAATGGGCTGTTATTTTAGCAAGGTTTACAAATTAAGTGCTTGGTTTTCAATGTATCATCCGTTTTGACTTTCAGATTTTATTAATTCAATATTTGAAGATGTGCCTTTTATTGGATAATGTTAATGCACGAATGTAGTAATGTTATTTCATGATTGTAATAATGTTACATGATCATGGGTTTGGTATTCTCTAACAGATGATGTGAAAGGAAAGTAGTTTTCATAAAACTCAATATGCCTCTGATTGCACAGTCCCGCCTGCTTTTGATGGTTGCTATGTCAAAGCAAGGGCACTTTCTTTTAAGACTACTTTCAGGACTTGTCTTTGTATTGTCTCTAAACTATAAATGCAGTTATGTCCATTTGGAGGCCAGGGTACCACATGTCACAGGCAGCCTTACATGTGTGCCGTGCAAAGCTTCAAAGACTGTTAACAAGAAAGAAAGTGTATGGGAACTAGAAATTTCATTTTTTTAAATGTAATCCCCAAGATTTTCTCCAAGAAATGAATTACTGTTTTGTATTTTGTAACTTAAAAGCAGCTACTAGTACATTTCTGAGATATAGCAGGAGACCAAAACATGTTTGGAAAGAGAATAAATATATGAAGAGAGAGGTTGGTTTATTTTCAATATGCTGAAAATATTAGACTATTTATTTTATGAGTGAATGTGATGAAATAAATATTCAGGTTTTAGTGTATGATTAAGAATGGGATATATAGATTTCTTTCAAGTTATTAAATCCATCATGTCTTTTACATAAACATTGTTTCTAAACAAGTTTAGAAACATTTATGTAGCTTAGCTTGTTAACCTGGTGCTGTTGACCTGCAAGAGAATTTACTTTTGCATATACAGGTGAAAGTTTTGCAATTTATGTATAAAAGAAATCATAGGCATTAAAAATATTTTATTGATATCTCCCTGGTTTGCACTTATTTACCAAAACTCATTCTCCTATATCATCACCCTGAACATATTTCCAGCTAGAAAACCCCATCAGACTTCAGAGATGGGGTTTGCCTCTGTTCATTCTCCCTAATACATTCACATCTGTTCAGACCCTACCAGTGACATATCTCTCCCACCAGCTTACAGAAGGCACCCAAGTTAGGAGAACTGTTTGGAGGTGTACTCTGAACCTGGAGGGAAGAAGAACTGGGTATATACTTATACAGAGAACCAGGCTCTGACCCCTGTAATAAGGCTCCGGATGGCTGAGGTGAATCTTGAGGAATACATACTAGTACATGAGGGACAGCCTTGCTGCCGAAGAATGCAGTCACTTCATGAAATGTGTTGAGACTAGGTCATAAGTACAAGAGATGCTAGTAGTATCCTAGATTGAGAAATTGTGAAGTTTTGCTTATGAGTTTTGAATTCACATTTCTTTCCACACAAAAAATTAAAGGGCTAATCCATTCAGTGCATAAAGCCACTTACAAAATAGTTCAGCAAATCTACCAAATAGGCATCAACAAAATGTGTACTTAACCAAAAGATCTGCTGGTAAGGGTGCTCTTCTGGACAATGGAAGTATATCAGTCATCCAAGCAGCCACAGAATAAGAACAATTTATACAGTTTGTTTTAAAAGTATATTTACTCCTGTTAGAGCTGTTCTTCCCCTTCCCGCTTAGGGTCAAAAAGCTCCAAATCACTAGAGGGCTTATTCGGAATAACCTGGGGCTCAGACACCCAGCTTAATTGGATAGATCTTATACTTGGGTTCCATTCTTGGTCTCATAAACTCAAACTGCATCATATTGAGGACTAAGCAGCTTCTGTTTCTTCACTTGCCTGTTTTGGCAGCAGTCAGTGCAAAAAGAACCATGAGGAAGACATTTAAACCATGAGGCAATTAAGATATCCCAGTCTTTTGTTTGGCCATTTTCCTTGACGCACAAAAGCATGCCAAGGAAAAGGCCAGGATTTTAACCTTCACTGCAGCACAGGGCTGCATGGGTTGGTAAGGTACTTAAGACTTTCAACTTCATTTTTGCCATTTTGTAAAATGAGGCTACTACTCTGGTTAAGGATTAAAATAATGTAAAATTTAGTATCTTACACCTAATATGAAAAAGGTCCTTTTCCCCACAAGGTGGAAGCTTTGGGTTCTTAGTAATAGTTGTGGAAAGGCCACAGAGAAATACCCCCAAACAATAAGCTTAAAGTTGCTGCAATCTCTAGCCCTTTAACATTTTCAATCCTGGACCCAGGAGAAAGACATTACTTGGAAAATATGTCTAAAGAGCTCTTGAGAATTTCTATCCTTAAGGATACAGAATAGAGGAGAAATTGAACTGGGCATCTTAGTCTTAATACCAGTCTTCAGGACTATGAAACGGAGGGAAGCAACCAGTTCCATCGACCCCAACTACCTCCCCAGCCTCCATCTCCCAGTTTCGAGCTAACAATACCAAGTCTTTCATCTTAAAAAGTACGGCAACTTTTTACATAAAATGTGACAAAAAATAATGTGCAATTACTTTATGTGAAACCAACAGGAACTGTACAGCCAGTGGGTCAGGAGAGCTTCAGAGCTGCATTGGTTCACCAGGGTCATCGTTGGTTGTTTCCAGTGGGGTCTGAAGGGAGAAAAACATGTCAGGTGGGTCATGCTTAGTGTGGGCTGAGGTCATTGCCCTCCTTGCAATAGAGGGTAGCTGCATCTAACTCTGTCACCAAATGCCTCTGATCTCAGTTGCCTGAGGGGCTTAGCAGTATTGCAGCTGACGAGGCAGAGAAAGGCCAAATATCCAAGGTCCAAGAGGAGGAGAGAGGAGAGAGACGTGTCCCACCAGAACCGTTACAAACCCATGTTTACTTGAAGGAGAGCTAAGTGGGGTTGTTCGTGTGGGCTCGTCTAAGAAACGGAATTGAAGACTGGACATACACAATGTCCCATGAGAATAAGACTAGGTCACCCATGTCAGGCAGCTTTGACACTGGGTCTGAGAAATCTTGATCTCTACACTGCCAATTTATTTGAATGAAACTGAAAAATAGAGTCTCTTAAGAAAATGTGTATAAAAGATCATATGAAAGACAGAGGGGATTTTTCCAACTTTTTTTTTAAATAAAGAAGAGGGTGATTGTTTTCTAAAGTTACTAGAGTTGGATTTTGATGCTTAATTCATTTATCTGGGGCAGTGGTCGGCAAACTCATTAGTCAGCAGAGCCAAATATCAACAGTACAACGATTGAAATTTCTTTTGAGAACCAAATTTTTTAAACTTCTTCTAACGCCACTTCTTCAAAATAGACTCGCCTGGGCCGTGGTATTTTGCGGAAGAGCCACACTCAAGGGCCAAAGAGCCGCAGTTTGCCGACCACGGATCCGGGGAAACACATTTCAAAGGAGAAATAGAGAACAAAGTTGAGGGCACACTTACCCCTCCTGGGGGATACTTATATCCCTTCCACATTGTTCCTGCAATGAGAAGCATCCATAAGACAACAATCATTGTGGGCTTCTGGCTCAGCTGGTGGTGTGTGCAGGGGCAAATGGGTGGTTCAGAAAGGTGTGTTCTAGTCCCTGGGTCCTGGGAACTGGGCTGTCTTCATTCAAGGCCTGATGGTGGATGGCCCAGCATGATAGCTCCTGCCGGAGGAGCTTTGTGGTCTTGTTTGAATTGAAATGGCTTGCCATGGCCATTTTGAGGGGCAGGGCTCAGATACCAATTGTGACATCAGCTCCTGTGACCTTGGGGACCAGTCAGAGTGAGTATGGGATGATTGGCCAGGATGCCAGATGTGTTGGGGCTAAAGAACCCTTATCAGAAGGACCCTGTTCCCTGGTGACTGACTATGCAGTTGGGATCTAGCTGGCATCAGATCTTTATTAACTCACCAAATGCCAATATTTTGACATTTGGTTTTATGCAGTCAAATGCCAAAATAAAATAAAATAAAATCCTAAGTAAAACACAAAACAAAAAATACCCTGATTAATTGGAAAAGTTAATTGGCTAGAAATGTTATGAGCAATTACTTTAAGTAATATTGTTAGGACTATTCAAAGGAGAAAACATTTTTTAGAAATTAATTGATTTTTAGAGAGAAAGAGGAAGGGAGAGAGAGAAACATCAATTTGTTGTTCCATTTATTTATGCATTCATTGGTTGGTTGCTTGTATATGTCCTGATGGGGGAATCTAACCAACTGAACTACCTGGTCAGGTTGAAAAATCTTGAATTTTGTAAAATAGCACAGTTAAACTTTCATGCAAGGTAAACCTTTTTACAATTTCCCTCAGAAGGGAAAAGAAGGAACATGGGCTATTATACTCAACTTACAGCTGGAGAAACTGAGGCACGGGATAATTTCAGTGGTTTTGTCAGGAACACAGTGTGGCAGTGGCTCAGCTAAACAAGTACCCAGGGCCTCCATTCTTATCCCCACCCCCACAGAGGTGTGACTGTGTTGTGCCATAGGAATTCTGGAGCAAGGGGGATGGGAGTGGGTGGGGGGGAAGCACTACCATCATGCCTTGCTCTTAGAATAGGGAGGGGGGGGAAGCACTACCATCATGCCTTGCTCATAGAGTATCTCTGGCTGGCTGAAACTTGATATCCATGCCTTCAGAGTAGCTGCCTAAAAAACCTGCTCCTGCCGGTTTGGCTCAGTAGACAGAGCATCGGCCTGTGGACTGAAAGGTCCCAGGTTCAATTCCGGTCAAGGGCATGGGCACATCCCCAGTAGGGAGTGTGCAAGAGGGAGCTGATCGATGATTCTCTCTCATCGATGTTTCTAACTCTCTGTCCCTCTCTCTTCCTCTCTGTAAAAAATCAATAAAAATATATTTTTTTTAAAAACTGCTCCAGTAGTCAGTACATTACTAAGATGCAGAATTAAGTTTCTTTAACTGTGGTAACATCCTTGAAAAAACAAGTCTGAATAAAATGGGGTGGGACACTAGAAACCCAGGGGATGCTAAAAGGACACTCTTATTAATGCTTGCTACAGGCAGGCTGATCTAGCAGGATGAGTGTGAGGGGCTATTAAATCCAGAGATCTATGCTTACATCCCTGCTTCACAAACAAGTTGGTCTGTGTGGCTTTGGATAAACAGTTGAGGTCGTTGCCACAAGCAAATCTGGTTCATGATTGGTTGACTGATTCATGATTTTGCTTAGTGTTTAAGTTAGCATTTACTGAAAGCTAATTTGCAAGCTTTGTATTAAATGCTTTACATGAATTCCCAAATATAATCCAACTAATAGATACTGAGATATATCTATTGCACAGATGAAGAAACTGAACCTCACGAAAATTAAAAATTTCCAAGTCACATAGCTAGTAAGTTGCAAAGTTAGGACTTAACCCAAATTCACCTTAACTCCAATTCAGTATTTGCCAAAAGGGGCATAAAATGCTGGTCCAACTTATTATAGAGTTTGTAAGTTAATAGATGGGAACAGTCTTCGAAACTAATACCTTTCTTTTCAAAACAGACCAGAGTTGTTATCAAACTAGAGGCCCAGTGCACAAAATTTGTGCACTTGTGGGGGAGGGTCCCTCAGCCTGCCCTGCACCCTCTTGCAGTCCGTGGGTCCTTGGAGGATGTCCATGGGGAGAGGACCTAAGGCGGCAGTCAGACATTCTTAATGCTGCTATGGGGGCAGAGCCATGAGCCTGGCTTCTAGCTGAGTGATGCTTCCCATGTGGGAGTGCACTGACCACCAAGGTGCAGCTCCTGCATTGAGCATATGCCCCCTGTTGGTCAGTGCACATAATAGTGACCAGTCATTCCACTGTTGGGTCAGTTTGCATATTAGCCTTTTATTATTATCAAATCTTTGGATTTTGATCTGCTGTCTTCAGCAGTGCTCCCCAAATTCTGTTTCCCTGCATCTACCTCTAATCATTTCCCCTTCTACAGCTCATCATATTCTCCAGAGGAATATAAACTCTCCACAGAGATTTCAGGGTGTTACCAAGTCCTTTAGAAGGGTAGGAATTCAGCCCAACACATATGATCACACTCACAGTTGTAGATCTTCATCCAAAGCCTGGCTGCTCCTTTGGGCTTTGCTCTCAGGCCACCTCTCTTTCCATCTCAGAGTTGGAGTCTGAGTCAGAAATAAATTTAAGGGCAGACATGGCTCCACTAATTGGTCCAATAGGTAACTGCTTCTGTATGGGATTGAAGGACTGCTGAAAAGTCCCCTCCAAGGCCTACCTTCCCTCTCCTGATCAGCAACTGGGCCTGGAATCCAGAAGTGGGGCGCTATCTTTGGCAGAGCTCTTATTAATCCCATAATGCTTTGAAATAAGTGATGCTAAATACGTAAGGTAGGGGGATTTAAAGATGTCCCACTGGGATGGGAAGTAGCCTGGGAAATAACTTTGCTCCCATCACATCCTGACTTCAAATTAGTGGTGAGATCTCAACTATCTTTCCCATTTGGTTAGAAAGCCCAGATCGTAGAGTTAGTCGGAGCCAGGATTGACTACCAGAAATTTGCAGGCAGAATCATTACTTACCATAAACTCCGGAAATGTGCCCATGTAACATGCAAAGCCAACAAAAAGCATCCAGCCGAGCACGATCATGATAAAACAATTTCTAAGACACAATTGCACAGTGAAAGACTTTTCACCAAGATCTTGGCAAAGGAGTATGCTCAAGAAACCCTCAGTTGGAAGAGGTCTCACATGTCAGTTCCAATCCTTGGCTCCAAGGGATCCAGAACTCCCTAGTAGAGAAGTTGAAGTCTAGTAGGGCATTGTGACATCATTGGTCACATGACTCATACTCACTACAAGTCAGGTCAGATCATCATCCAAAGCCTCTGTTCAAAACCCTCTTGCGGCTTCCTCTTTCAGAGCAAAAGCCTAACAAATAGAAAAGCAGCCCCTGACATTGAAACTTGTCTGACCCAGCTCTGTCTCAGTGTCATTAGCTTATTTGGCACACACAGCTAGGCTATGTGATTCTCCTGTAGGTGTAACAATCTCACAGAAAACCAACATCAGTTGGGTCATTCAGACCATGACAAAAATGGGACAAAACAAGACCCACTTCATAATTCTGTCTAAGCAAAAACAAGGTCATCCTCTTTTCTCTGCAAATATAAGAGATTGGTGCTTTTTCTTTTTACCAATCACAGCTTTATCATCACTCTAGTTTGCCCATCTTATGGATATTTGAGATAATCAATTATAGAATTGTCCTTTCTGCTACCACCCAACCCAAAGTGGAGCTCTGCTTTCTTAAACCCTCTCCCAAATCACCCAAAACGCAAATCCTATAATAGGTTCTTTTCAACATTCTTACTAAGCTGTCTCAATGGTTCTCTACTGTCATCTACTCCTTCCCTGCAAGGAATAATCAACCCAACTTGTTTCAGTGTGTGTGTGTGCCTGTTGGTCTCTGGCTGAAGAGCATTGACAAGCCAGTCACAATTGTGTGCAAAGCACTCACATTGGTTCTCAGATTTTTTTTTTCTTCTTGCATTAGAATTACCCAGGTTTCTTACAACAGATGGCTGGACCCCACCCCTAAGGTTCTGATTTTGTAGGTTTGAGGTGGGGTCAAAGAATTTGTATTTTTAACAAGTTGAGGCTGTAAGTCTGTGGACAACACGGGAAGAATAACTGCCCTAGCTCCCTATTGTTTCTCTGAATTAGCCTACTTCTGCTTCCTCACTTCTTACTTCATTCTACTCCAGTCATACTCGCCTCACTGTTTCAAGCCTCCCAAGCTCATGCCTGTTTTAGAACTTTGCTTGGAATATCCTCTATGAAATGCTTATTGTTTCAGCCCTCAAGGGGACCTACCAAAACACAAAATTACTTTATAACATGCAGTCTAACTTACTTATTTATTGTATTTGTTATTTTGCTCTTCTCCTAGGAATAAAAACATCAACCTTAGGAAAGCTGATGTTTTTGTTTATTTTGTTCACTTCTGTATCATCAGACCTAGAAAATATTTAGCCCATAGTCAATGCTAAACCAAAAGTTTGTTGAATAAACAAATTCTCCTTCCAGTCTTTCAACCTTCTCCTAATTGAGGCACAGCATTGTTGCCTTTAGGTCTTCCAATTAATACAATCACCCTACTGCCAGCCCAACCTCTTGACAGTTAAAAAAATATCTCGTGTTCCTGTTCAAGCCAGGAACACAAAGCAGGTAACTCACAAGTTAAGGAGACCAAACAAAGCCAGCATATTGCATATCTTCCCCTTCTTCTCCAGGTGGCCTAATCCACCAACCTACCTCTACTCCTATTTTCAAAGTTTTCTTTTCTTTTTTTTTTTTCTCGCCTGGCTTTTGCTTTTCTTAACCACCAATATGGTTATGGGACCCTCCCCTGGGGGTGGGGGGAGGGGGAGGCAACCTCTCCCCCATGCGGTATCCTCCTCACAAGGGCTGCCCTATCTCCCAGTTCTCCGACCACAACGCTCCTGCTGCCTTCCCCTTCTAGGTCCCTGAAATTTTGATTTTAACTTTTCATGATCTCTTTCTTCCTAAATCCAACCACAACATTCGTCCTTGATCTTTTTCGTTACTGAATTTCACACCTCTTTCTAGAAACTCTCTTCCACCTCCTTGACTGCTTGTCCTCAGGTCCCTCTTAGTCCTCCCTTCACAGATGTCCCCAAGTTCCTTTCCAGCAATGCTGGGTCCTAGTTCCCTAAACCTCCGCGGAGCCTGGGGCGTTGGAGGCGGGTGGAGTGTCGAGCCCGGGAAGGGGCGGGGCCTCGCGCCTCCCGGGAAGTTTGGTCCTCGGCGGCCGCCGTCCAGGTGCCGGTGGGGAAAGGAGGTCGGGGGGCTGGGGCCGCGGAATCTGACTCGGGAACCCGCCTAGAGATGGAGTTCGACTGCGAGGGTCTGAGACGGCTGCTGGGCAAGGTGCGGGCAGCCCGCTGGGCTGGTGCAGGGGTCTCGGGCCATTTTCACCCTCGGCCGGGCTACCCCGCAGTGGCGTGTCCCCCTCTCGTTGCAGGGCTTGGAGCGGAGGGGGCGCTGGCATGAAGTCGGCTGCGGGGAGAGGGGTGACGGGGAGGCCTCGGGGGAGCCGCCGGTCTCTCCCTCCCGGGGCCTGACTTGGCTGCACTCGCAGCTCCGAGGCCCCCCACCTCCTGCGGTGTGAGACCTCCTTGCGCCTCTTGGTCTCAAATAGCTTCTAGCACCTGCCTGTCCCTGGAGCCGCTCCCTTTTCTCTCTGCTGAAATGGCTTGTTCCACTTTTTTCTTGACTGGCAATGTTCGTTCGGCCTCAGATGCTAGTGTCTGGAAGATAGAAGCAGTCCTTTCTCTCTGCTTGCTTTCAGAAATACCGATGATCCCATCGTGGGGTCTTGGTGTACTTACACCCCTTACTCCTGCTTTTGAACTCTGCCGCCTCGCGCTGTGCCTCAGCATCGGAGGTGCTCAGTGACTGCAGCGAACGAGAGACCCGAGTAGATTTAGGAATGAAGACGGGGCTTGAAGGCCCAGAAGAGATCCTCATAGCGTTGAAAGGTTGACCGCAGGGCTAACCCACAAATCTGACCTACATTTCTGGGGCTTGACCAGAGCCAGTTTCCGGTTCAGGCTCTCTGAGTCCCCATGATTGGATAGTCTGAGGCAGTCCCTCTTCGCAGTTCTTTATTTTTTATGACTGAATAGTCCATGTTATGGACATATTACATTTTACCCATCAATTGATAGACATTTGGATTGTTGTAAATGTAAATGTTTTCTCAAAATCATTTTTTTGGAATGGTAATAGACTCTTAACATACTTCTTTTTCTTTTATTTAATCCTTAGCACAAGTCTACAAGGTAGGTATTGTTTCTCTTTGCAAATAAGAAATATTCAAAGAAATTAAATGATTTTGCCCACAGGGCAACCAATGCCATGTTTCTAGGAGCGCATCTGGATGAATGAGAAGACAGTTCACTCAGCCTGACTGCAAACCCATGCATGCTTTTTTTTTTTTTTTTTTTTTTTTTTTCTGTTCTCCCTTGAAACCCAAGATGCAGTGCCAGGAGGGTTGGAAGGGAAATTCAAGGTGTGTCAAGTGAATGAATGAGTTATAATATTCAAGAATAAGAGTGGATCTTGAATAGTGGTGACAGGAGTGATAGATACATCGGTTCTACTTCTTAAGCCTTCAGCGGTATTTGGAGGCAGTTTGATTAGTGATTAAAGGCCCGGATCCTAGGTTACATCTCTGGCTTTCCTACTTAACTTACTAACTCAGCAAGTTATTTGTATTCTCTAGCTTTCATTTTTATATTTATAGGGTTGTTATTACTATTCATGTTTGTAAATCAAATACTATTCATGTTTGTAAAACTCAGAGCCTCATACACAGTAAGTGTTCAGTTAAATGTTGATTGTAATTATTCTGTTGTCTATAGATTTATTCTTATCCCATGCTCATTTTTCTTTTTTCAGTACAAGTTCAGGGACCTAACTGTGGAAGAACTAAAGAATGTAAATATGTTTTTCCCACATTTCAGATATTCCATGGACACCTATGGTAAGAATTGTATTCTCTAGTTTTTGCTACATTATGTAAACTATTAGTTATTTGTTCCTAGTGAGCTACAAAATTATAATTTCTTTCTTTTATCCCCTGATTTTGAACTACACTTTGTGACCTGTGATTTCTGAGGAAATTTAAATTAGTATTAATTTTCTATTGCTGTCATACAAATTAGCACAAATATAATGACTTAAAAAACAACATATATTTACTATCTTACAATTCTGTAGGCCAGAAGTGCAGCACAGGCCACTATAGATAAGAAGTGTGGACTAAAAATCTTGGCAGTTCTTAGTTCCTTTTGGAGGCTCTGGGAGAGAATACATTTCCTTGCCTTTTTCAGTTTCTTAAAGTCATCCTCATTCTTTGGCTCCAGGTCTCCTTCCTCCATCTTCAAAGCTATCAATGTTGCATCTCTCTCACCATCCTCTGTCCTTTGATTATCCTCTATCCACAACTAGGAAAGTTCCTCTACTTTTAAGGACCAGTGTGATTCCATTATGTCCCTTCCAATAGTATGGGATAATTTCCCACCTCATGTCCTTAATTATATCTAAAAAAATCTATTTTCCAAGTAAGGTTAGCATATTTAGAGGGTCCAGGATTAAGGGTATTGAATATTTTTGGAGGTCATTATTCTGCCTACCACATACATGGTTGAAGTTTTAGTGATCTTATTCACTTAATACAGAGAGTCTGGCTACCTAAGAAATATTTTGATTTACTATCTTTCAAAAATTTCTGACCATAGCCTGCACTTGGAAATATATTTTGTATCAGGAACCCATATACATATAACTAAAATACTGTGGACTCTCTGGCATTTTTTCCATTCCATTTAAAAACAAGTACTGACTGAGACTCACTAAATTAATTTCAGGATCCATGAATTAGTCAAAACACACAGTTTTGAAAAACTTCTTTATTCTATATTGCTATGTTTTATATTTGTATTAGTTTGGGTTAAGAAAATGTATGTAATTCAGATTTATATATTAGAATCTTTGAGGAGTTATTGAAGTGTTTCTTAGGAATAGCTAATTTTATATGTGGAAGACATTATTAGATTCAGGCCCATCTGTGACTGGCATCTTTTAATTGACACCTAGTTATTTGGTATTGCATACATGCCTGGGATAAGAGATGCAACACCTGCTACTTATTAAATGCCAGATGTGCTTCCAAATGTTTTATCTAAGTTTTCTGACCTATCTCTTTTTTTCCTAAAGCTATGAGGTAAGCATTATCTTCTTCATTTTTCAGATAAAGAAACCAAGGCTCAGAGAGTTTAAATAATTGCTCAAGATTATAGCTAGTTAGAGATGGAGTTGAGTTTGTAACCATATTTGTCTTGCCCTCTGCTTGAATACTTCTTGTCCTTTTATAATATGTTTCTTTATTATATAGAGTTACTATGCCAGTTATTTCTTATTTTCCTGTCTTCTGTCTAGAGAAAGTGAGCTATGGTGCCATTAGACTCTGAAGCTCTAGGCGTTATCAGTGTATATTTTATTGTTGAAGACAATGATAGTCAAGCATCTTATACACTTTTATTTTGGCTTTTTGAATAATTTGATCAAACAATAAATATTTACACCAATAGTTTCTCTACCACATTTCTAGGTTATCCTGTATTCCTGAGTAACAGTTCCTTTTCCACACCTCTTTCCAATTTAATTTTTGCTATAGAATGTTCTCTTCACCCATTGTTACCTTTCATTTATATAGTTCAAGGTAAACATTTGTACCTATTACACTTTTGGCCTTGAGTTTTTGTCAGCTAGATTTCCTCTTTTCCCTTTCTAGTTGATCATCAAATCTACTTGGAATTTTTTCTACCAGTGCCTAAATAGTATAGTTACTGAGGCACTAAAAAGACTACATTCCAAGGCAGTGTGATAGTTTGAAGCCAAAGGTAGTCTTTTCTGTATTCAGTTCAGAGATAAGGGCATTCATTCTCCATCATTGTGTCCTAGTTATTGATGAAATTTCAGGGATGTGAAGATTGAATAAAGATTGAGAATAATATAATTAGAGAAACAAAATAAAATAATTATTGATCTTTCTAAAAGGTCACTTTCAAAAATAAAGCTAACACCTTTTTTTTCCTTATTCTAAAACTTATAACCTGATTTCTGAAAGTGATTGTAACTGCTTTGTTACATGTGACAATTAGTTAACAACTAGAGGCTCAGTGCATGAAATTTGTGCACGAAGGGGGGAGGTCCCTTAGCCCAGCCTACACCTTCTCCAATCCTGGACCCCTTGGGTCCAGTCTGACTGCCAGTTTAGGCCAGATCTCGCAGGACATCCCTCTCACAATTCAGGACCACTGGCTCCTAACTGCTCACCTGCCTGGTTGCCCCTAACCGCCTCTGCCTGCTGGCCGATCAACCCCTAACTGCTCCCCTGCCAGCCTGTTCATCCCTTAACTGCTCACTCCTGCCAGCCTGATCACCCATAACCACCTTTGCCTCAGCCCCTGCCACCGTGGCTTTGTCCGAAAGGACATCTGGAAAATGTTCAGTATAATTAGCATATTACCCTTTTATTAGTATAGATGTCCTCACGTTTTTTTTTTTTAGATGTCCTCACATTTTATAATCCTTTACTTCTTTTGACATTATATCATTAGACCCTTATAACAACTTTATGATGCAGTCTTCTTATTTTTATTTTATGGATTATCAAACTGAAGGTCAAAGAGATTAAAGTAACCAAAAGTCACATGCTTCTAAGTGGGAAAGGTGGGCCTAGAACTTGGGATTTCAGTATCAAATTCCTGTGTTTACTCACCTATCTGCTCTGATTTCTAAGAAAAAAAAAAGTAGTAATTTTCATTTATCAACATTTTTACTTATTCCTAGATAATGGGATAATGGGATTTAGAAATTATGTGTTTCTGTACATGTGTATGTGCGTTATCTGGATCAACTTTGATTTCTCTTTCTACTTCTGATTGCACATTTTGAGGCTTTTTTTTCCCCCCTTTCAGTTTTCAAAGATAGTTCACAGAAAGACTTGCTGAATTTCACTGGTACTGTTCCTGTGATGTATCATGGTAAGTGTGGATGTTGAGAAATTGCGGGAATTTCTAAATGAGCAGTTCAGTAAGAACTGAAATGTGTTTAGTGCCATAATATTCAGACCTGCTGTGCATTTCTTATGGTTAGATGTTAGAAAGAGAGATAAAGAATTCCTATCCACCCCAACGACTGGTTGATTGATTGAGTTCACAATTCTTGCCCATCCCAATAATTTCAAGGTATTTGCATATTAATGGAGGAGCTTGTGAAAAAATTCAGAATTTCAGTAAAATTTCAGTTTCTAGGACAATGTGGGAGGTAACAGGAAGGCATAAAAGTTACCTTACTGCCATTGGTAAGATGTCCCTCATTGGCATTCTGACTCTCCTAGTGCCATGGAGTTGTGTCATTGATTCATATGCTGGCTGGATCTTTCAAAGTGTTAATGGTACCTGCAATACCTTTTCATTGGAAGTACCTTTTTTTCCCCCCTTTTCTTTTGACTAGAATTATATTAACTCACTGTAATGCACACTAATTATTTCTTGCGGATCAGAAGGTCAGAATGTATTATCTTTCTCATTATCAAATGGGCCAATATAAATGGTTACTTTGTGATGTTGTGATCACATGATTTTATAATCATCACAGAGTTATCCACAGACCAATAGCTACTTCTCTCTATACCTGCATTGTAAATACTTAGGCACTATATATGGTGACAGATCTTAACTAGACTTATTGTGGTGACATACCTCAATAAAATCATTTTTTAATAATTAGACAAAAGCAGAAGAGGAGTATGGTTCTGAGAACTGCTATATGAAATAGTAGACCAGGTATTAGGACATTTCTATAATATACTAATTTTCAATCCTTGCTGAACATGAGAATTACATGGGAATCTTTTTAAAAATGACATCCAGTCCCCATTCTATTGAGTCAGAAACTTTAGGAGAGTGGCCTGGATATTGGTATGTTTTGAAGTTCCTTAAGTGTTTCTAATTTGCAGACACTCCTGGGTATCATTATGCTTTGGATAGGAGTAAGCAAGATGAAAAAAATAACTTTCAGTGGAAAGAGGATTTCCTTAGTAAGAAAAGATTGCAGTGGAGAAGAAAATATTTTTACTTATAATGGGCCTATTTTCAAAATGCAAACCCTGCCAACCCCTTATGGTACTTACCATATAATATACTGTCCTAAGCATTTCACATACATTAACTAATTTTATCCTCACAATAACCCTATGATGTAGGAGCTATTAGTCACATTTTATAGAAGAAGGAATTGAGACACAGAGAAGTTAAGTTGCCTAAAATCATGCAGCTAGTAATGAATGAAACTTATGCATTCTTGCTTCTGAGCATCCATGTTCTTAAGAATCGGGAAAGACATGGGCAATAAGGCTATGAAAGCAGGAATAAAAATCAGGAGATACAATAAAACAGCCAAGGTAATTGATGAGATTTCTAGCTGAAGTTTTATTTTTATACTTACATTAGGTTTCGCTTTGGGCTTCCTGACAACCAAGGCAGTCAGATTTTGGCTCTTGGTAGGCATGATATACATGATTATAATCGGAAGAACATGCAACTTCCTTTCTTAGAACACTAAAATTTAAGAACCGCTGGATAAAGTATCTATTAAGGTTATTTTCAGTTCTAAGTTCTATATATGAAAACTAGCTAGTATGTTCTAGTACCTGCAATTAGTGAGCAACTTGAGGGCCAGTATCAAATTCATCTTTACTCATTCATTTATTTATTGATCAGTCATTCTTTTTTTTTTTTTTTTTTAACTTGGAAAATTTATTTACTTTCCTACCTCACCAATCACTAATATGAGTAGCTAAATCATATATCTCTTCAGGACAAAATAGACACTATTGAGAGTGTCTATTACATCCTATGGATAATTTCAATTTTAGGTCACAGCATTAAGAGCTTCTGGTTTTAGTCCCATAAACTCTCTTTGAAATGACCCAGATAATTCAGTCATTCTTTTTCTTTCTTTCTTTCTTTTTTTTTTTTTTTTTTACATTTTTCTATTCTTTTTTTTTTTTTAATTAAATTATTATCTGTGTACATATTTTAACATTGCCTCCCCTCCCTCCCATACATACCCTCCCTCCTCAGAGTTTTGTGTCCATTGGTTGTACTTATATGCATGTATACAAGTTCTTCGGTTGATCTCTTATCTCCCTCAGAACTCCCTACCCTCCCAGCTGGGCTGTAATTTGACAGTCTGCTTGTTGCTTTACTGTCTTTATATCTGTCTTTTGGTTCATCAGTTTATAATGTTATTTAATATCCATAAATGAGTGAGGTCATGTGGTATTTCTCTTTCATTGAATGGCTTATTTCACTCAGCATGATGTTCTCTAATTCTATCCAGGTTGCTGCAAATGATGAGAATTCCTTCTTTTTTATGGCAGCATAGTATTCCATTGTGTAGGTGTACCATAGTTTTTGGATCCAATCATCTACTGACAGGCACCTAGGCTGTTTCCAGATTCTAGCTATTGTAGATTGTGCTGCTATGAACATAGGGGTGCATATATCCTTTCTGATTGGTGTTTCTAATTTCTTGGGATATATTCCTAGGAGTGGGATTACTGGGTCAAATGGGAGTTCCATTTTCAGTTTTTTGAGGAAACTCCACACTGTTCTCCACAGTGGTTGCAGCAGTCTGCATTCCCACCAGCAGTGCACAAGGATTCCTTTTTCTCCGCAACCTCGCCAACACTTGTCATTTGTTGATTTGTTGATGTTGGCTATTCTGACAGGTGTGAGGTGGTACCACATTGTTGTTTTGATTTGCATCTCTCTTCAGTCATTCTTAATTACAAAAGAAGCTTGCATTGAGCAGCCAGTAGGTTAGGCACTACCTTTAGTGCAGGGGTTATAGAAATAAATAATTCATAATCCTCTCTTAGGAAGAAGTTTATAGAGTAAAATGAGAAACAACTGTAAGCAAATAACTTCAGTGCAGAAGTATAAAAATATAAGTGTCCACTACCAGTCAAGATAGGTACTATAGCTCTGCTCGGATAGGATGAAGAAGGTTACATAGAGAAGATTGTGTATCTCAAACTCCTGACACAGTAGATCCTTTATATATTTATTGAATTGAGTTGGATGTCTTAATTGAATTTTCTCAAATGTTATGCTGGTGATTTAACGGGAATATTTTTCCAATGTTAATGTAGATGAAATGGGAAAATAGGCCTCAATTTACATAAGTCCTTTATAAGTGAACTTGACTACACAACTTAAAATGCCACCTAGCTATACCATACATAGTATGCATGCCTTATTGTTTGAAGTATGTTTATTTTGTCTCAAATAGGTAATACATATAACATACCAATTCGTTTGTGGATTTTGGATTCTCACCCTTTTGCTCCCCCCATTTGCTTCTTAAAGCCAACTGCAAATATGGGAATCTCAGTTGGAAAACATGTGGATGCTCAAGGCAGAATATACTTGCCCTACCTCCAAAACTGGAGCCATGTAAGATCAGTTTAGATTTTCTTTGAAAAGTTCTTATTTTTCTGAATTATTTATCTTTGATTTTAGTGAATAAAAGTAACAAATAAGTTACTGAATTTTCATTCAATGATGTTCTTCATATGGTCATTAAAGGTGATTTGAGCCGAAACCGGTTTGGCTCAGTGGTAGAGCGTCGGTCTGCGGACTGAAAGGTCCCAGGTTCGATTCCGGTCAAGGGCATGTACATTGGTTGCGGGCACATCCCCGGTAGGGGGTGTGCAAGAGGCAGCTGGTCGATGTTACTCTCTCATCGACGTTTCTAGCTCTCTATCTCTCTCCCTTCCTCTCTGTAAAAAGATCAATAAAATATATTTAAAAAAAAAAAAAAAAAAGGTGATTTGAAATTGAACTCCCGGGGACACCCGAGTCCCAGAACCCTGATGACAGCCCGGTCTGATGACAGTATCTGCCTGAAGCTGCTCTCTTCGAGTCTAAGAGCCAACTTTTGTTTGCTCCCTATCCTCCTATATAATAAAAGGCCAATATGCAAATCAACCGAACAGTAGAACGACTGGTTGCTATGATGCACACTGACCGCCAAGGAGCAGACACTAAACACTGGATCTGTTCCCTGGTAGTCAGTGCACTGCAACATGGGGAGCACGGCTCAGTGAGAAACCTGAGCCGTGCCCACGGCTGGTGAGCGCAGCAGCGGTGGTGGGAGCCTCTCCCGCCTCCGAGAGGCGCTAAGGATGCCCAACTGCCAGCTTAGGCCCAATCCCCATGGGGAGTGGGCCTAAGCTGTCAGACATCTCCCCAGGTCTCCTGGACTGCGAGAGGGCACAGGCCGGGCTGAGGGAACCCTTTCTATCTCCCGAGTGCATGAATTTTATCCACTGGGCCTCTAGTCTTTTTATAGTTGTTTATTACTTGATAAAGCACATGTAAAGTTACTAGCAAGTATTGGGCATCATTTCCTAGTCCATCTCTATTAAAGAGTCTTATGTGATACACGTATTTATTTGTAGTTTTGCCTGTTTTTGACTTTTAGTATATTAAAACAGATAATCTGTTATGTGCTTTAACTGAGCATTTAAAATTTTATCTGGATACATGACCATTCTTTCCTTAGTCTTTTAGAGGGTAATGAGAGAGTTATCTGGAGCTTTGATGTATATCCAGGCTTTGACACAGGACTGGAAAGTTCAAAAGTTTAGGTTTCCAGGCTCAATAAAACAAGAATAGAATAATTTCCTCATGCTTCAACTTACTTGCTTTTAGTGATTTAGCAGTTTGACTTACACTGACTCCATTTTATTTCTTTATTCTGTTCCTCAATATTTAGGGATGAATAGGTATCATATCTGCAGTTTACTCTCAGTTGGTTCAGAAAAATACAGAGAGAGAAAGAGTCTAAGAAAGCAAATGTGATGCAATTTTAGTGATCTGGGTGAAGAGTACATGGAAATTCTTTTACTATTTTTGCAATTTTTCTTTGTTTGCAATTGTTTCAAAGTAAAAAGTTAAAAAAAGACAGACTGTTGCCAAACATACTCTGCTCATAAGTACATTTATGTTATACCCTATATTTTGGAAATATGGATTTAGCATTTTTCCCTTCATTTTTTAGTCAAAAGAATTAAGTACTTTTTCAGTGAAAAATAATGAAACAGTTGAAGGTATAATTTCTATGGTAGTATTAAAAAATGAGAGCATAATATAATACTTTGTTTTGGCTAACTATAACAATGTATAGATTAATAAGGTAGTACTTGTTAGCAAAATTTTTGCATAACTTTTCTCTTTGTGTATATTCTGCAGCCTAAATCTGTCATTGTAGGATTAATTAAAGAAATGATTGCCAAGTTTCAAGAGGAACTTCCCCTCTATTCTCTATCATCATCTGATGAGGCACGGCAGGTGGACTTGCTAGCCTATATTGCAAAAATCACTGAAGGTTTGTATTTTTATTATTCAGAGAATTATAAGTTTATAATTTCTCAATGATAGCCTTTACTCTCTGCTACTTTATTTTTATAAATAAGTACATGCATATATACACACACATCTGTGTTGAATAAAAATTTCTTGCACATCTATCATAGGGTATTACCTACTAGAGTTCCAATTACCTAACTATACAGTTTTAATGAATATGCTTTCTTAAAATGTAAAAGATTAGACCTGGCCATTGTGGATCAGTTGGTTGGCATGTCATCTTGTAAACTAAATGGTCATGATTTTTATTATCTTTCTCTCTTTCTCTCTCTCTCTATCTCTCTCTCTCTCAAAATCAATAAAAACATATCTTTGGATGAGAAGTGTTAAAAAATATATAAAAGATTATCCTTATACTGACAAAATATTTTTTATTTTGTATAAAACCACTTGAATATACAGGCTAAATTACCAGCCATTATTACCTAAAAGATACATCATAAGTATGGATACAAAGTAGTAATAATAACAATAAAAAGAATATAAATAAATATTACAGGGAAAACTATGTTTCACGTACTCAAAACTATAAACCTATCTTTGCTGACCCCTGTATTAATTTTCCATTATATTTTTATGTATCTTTCTGCCTCATCTACACTAATAAAAGAGAAAGATGCAAATTGACCATACCTTCACAACACCTTCCAGTCAATCAGGAGTGAGTATGCAAATTAACCCAAAAGATGACGGGTTAATTTGCATACACAGGCACCGAATGGCTGGGGCCAGGACAGAGGCATTCCACACTACCGCAGCCACTCTGGGCCTCTGTACCATGTGGGAAGGCAGAAAGGTGGCTCCGAGTCGGAGCAAAGGTGGAAAGGTAACTCTGGCCAGAGTGAAGGCGGTGCTAGTAGGCAGGGGGAGAAAGGGACATTCTTGCATGAATCTTCATGCATCGGACCTCTAGTTTGAATATATTGGACAAAAAAAAATCCGTGATTCTCACTGAGTATAACGTAAAATAACCATGCTTGCAAAATTTTGTAAGGTGTTAAATATTTTTTGCATTTTAAACCAGAGCATTTTTCACAATTATGAAATCCTGTTTTTTTGTCTTATTTAATATTTTTTAAATGTTTGGAAAGATATTTTCTTTTTAAAAGGGTTGTCTCTGTTTAATGGAATATTTAATCAGAGATTCCTAGCTTTCTAGTATACGATTTGTGTAGCAGGTATTTTTGAGTGCCTATTATGGGCTAGCACCATGCTTTCTGTCCTAAGTTATTGAAAGTTGGTGTATTTTTTTTTTGAAAGATGCTAAAAAGGTTTTTGATATTATTTTTAAGTTGTCATTATCGTTCACTTTTCTTTCTAGGTGTCTCAGACATAAATTCGAAGAACTGGGCAAATAATGAGAATAAAACAGTAAAGAAAATTACTGTGGTTGGAGGTGGAGAACTGGGAGTTGCCTGCACATTAGCAATTTCAGCAAAGGTATGTTAGCATAGTCGTTATAAATACACATATCAGATTGGTATGCTTTTAGGTAGTTTATGTTTGATTTTTTTCATGTGGAATAAACTCATTTTGTGTTAAAATATATTTAGTTGACAAAAAAAGTGGCTAAAGCTCATTAGGGATGTTGCCTCTTAATGAGCAGTTAGACATGGAATATGCTTTGAAAAAATGGTTTGGATAATGGGGTCATCAACCTAATTCAAGAGAAACATCAACTTGACATTCATTTGACTTCACAAATTCTTTTGTTTTAATTAAACTTTTATTTAATAAATTAATTTTAGCTTTTTATAAATTATAATTATTTTTTTTTACGAATTGCCTTTTTTGTGTAATTACTCTCTTTTGTGGTTGTATTTCCTGAGTTGATAGTTTGAGATTTATTTTTATCAGTCCTTTTTATTAGATCTTTTCCATATAAATTATTTTCAGAGAGGCATTTAAATCCTCTTCCAGAGTGGTTCAAAAGACCCTTCAGGGCCCAGAATCATGGTAACAGCATGTCTATCTCATTTGAGGGATATAGCCCAGGATAGAATAGCTGTCCCTTTATATATTTATTTGGTAGTTGACATTTTGTTTTCTACTCTATTAAAATTTGATTATTTGTCATCTAATTTCTTCCATTTAAGAATCACATATGTCTTGGAGGTCGGGTCTACTTCAGCAAATGATTAAGTTGTATCTAGCGAGCTAGAAAATTTTAAAGCTGACTGCTCAGAACAGTATATGCTAAGTTTTGACATATTGTATTTTCATTTCCTCCATCCTCCACCAGAATATATGGTTCCCTCTTAATTGGAATTGGAATTGTTTTCAGTTCTTCTGTTACTGAATAGAATACTTCTGTAAACATTGCTTTACAAGTTGCTTATTTTCTCATCTGAATTTTTTTAGGTGTGTATAAAATCATACTAGTGAGTCAGAGAACATGGATGGTTTTTATGACACTTATTACATATTGCAGGATCTTCTGAAAGGCAGAACAAATTTATGCTGCTAATAAAAATGTGCATATCAACCAGATTTTTGCCCTTCCTAACAGTACTGAGTTTTATCAGTTTTCTTTGTTTTTGTTAAGTACAGGAAGGCCTCTTAAAGTCATGTTTCTTTAGTTGTTAGCAGAGTCTCACTGTCAGTATTTCTTTGTGAGCTGTCTAGATGGAAATTTTTTTCCACTTTTCTTTTTGGACATTATATTGTGATACAAGATACCAATATTCAAGTAGTACAATAGTAGCCATAATAGTGATGGTAGCAGCAGTAACTGATCTTTACTGAATGTTTAAGAAGGTGCCAGCACTTGACTCATTTTAAACACTTGACTCATTTTTATAGCAACTCTGTGGCTTAGATACCATCATTATGCCATTTTTACAAATGAAGAAACCAGGGCATAGGAAGGTTACCAACTTGCCAAAGCCACAGTGTTAGTAAATGGAGGGTGAATTTGAAGCTAGGCAGTCTATTTATAGAACCTTTATTCGAAAACCTTACTACTCAGATGTGGCTTTTAGACCAGCAGCATTGACATCACCTAAGATCCTATTAGAAATGCATAATCTCAGGCCCCACTCCAGACCTACATTAGAAATCTGCATTTTAACAAAATCCCTAGTGATCCATGTGCTTCACTGAGCTATTTAATGTGATCTCTTAAAGCTTGAGAAGCTCTGCTCCAACCACTACGTTAAACTGCTTTGTTATTATTGTTGCTGTTATTGAAGGACACTTAACTTGTTTCTAGTTTTTTGGGTTTTTTTAAATAAGTTTATTTGAGCCAAGGTGTTGACATATGCTGGAAACAAGATCTCAAATGATCTCTCTAGTCTTTTGAATATCCTTATATTTTTACATATTTATATCATTATCCTACATGTACTAATAAATTTATAGGGTTATTTATATAAATGAGATTGATGGATTAAAGGAGTTATTGTGTTTTTCAATTTTGATAGAAATTGTCAAATTATCCCCCAGCTCAACTATACCAGTTTATTCTCATACCCATCTTATATGAAAACCTGTTTTACAGTTGTTAAACTTTTGGATCTTAACATGTATGTTAAATTAAAAATGGTAACTCAACTTTAAATTAAAAAATGGTAACTCAGAATACATACTTCTTGGTATATAACAAAGGTGCTAAACCAATATTCTTTCTAAAAATTCAGTTAACATTGCTTTTCCTAAAAATACATTGTTAAAATAAGTTTTAATAACAACAAAAAGGGTTTTGTATCAATAAATAAAAATTTAATGTTAAAAAAGTAATTTTATCTTATATTCTTTTTTCTTACAAGTGGTTACCAGTAATAAAATTAGCCGGTACAATTTAGAGGGGACTGCTCTCTGCCAGCCCTGTGTAACAATTAATCCTCACACTGCATGACGTAAGGCCCAGTTCAGTGACTTTGCCAGCATTACAGAGCGAATAGGTTGTACAGCTGGGTTGTTTTCTTAATTTCCACCTTCCCAGTAGGCAGATAGATCTCTGGGGACTCTTGCCCCTGCACTCTAAGATAGGAGAGAGCCTTAAATCTCTGACTATTTTGGGAAAAAAACCTTCCACAAAGGTAACCAGACTTTTAGGATGTTCCATGTTATAATTTACAGTAAAATCCCAGTTTCCAGTCAAGCCTAAAGGATCACAGTATTCATAATAATTTCTTGCTTGCATGTCCCTTTTATTATTATTATTATTATTATTATTATTATTATTATTGTTACTTTTGCTTCCTAAGATAGCATATGACACCTCTGCCTTCTCTCTTAGCCCTCACTTCTGAATGAATTTAAATTGAGTACCCAGACATGCCCCATGTAATGCTGTTCTTTTTTTATTGTACTAAACAGGGCATTGCAGACAGACTTGTCCTCTTAGACCTGTCAGAAGGGACTAAAGGAGGGATGATGGACCTTGAGATCTTCAACCTGCCTAATGTGGAGATAAGCAAAGGTCTGGTTTCTCTGCTTAACAGTTGTTCAGTTTTATCATCTCTAAAGAGAATACATACTTCTTGGTATATAACAAAAGTGCTAAACTAATATTCTTTCTAAAAATTCAGTTAACATTGCTTTTCCTAAAAATACATTGTTAAAATAAGTTTTAACAACAAAAAGGGTTTTGTATCAATAAATAAAAATTTAATGTTAAAAAAGTAATTTTATCTTATATTCTTTTTATTTTTTTTTATTTTTAAATATATTTCATTGATTTTTTACAGAGGAAGGGAGAGGGATAGAGAGTTAGAAACATCGATGAGAGAGAATCATCGATCAGCTGCCTCCTGCACACCCCCCACTGGGGATGTACCCGCAACCAAGATACATGCCCCCAACCGGAATCGAACCTGGGACCTTTTAGTCCGCAGGCCAACACTCTATCCACTGAGCCAAACCGATTTCAGCTATCTTATAGTCTTAATGTAAAAGTTTTGTATATATTTTATAATGTATGTAATATATTAGTGCAGACATATATCTGTAGGTAAATGCTGTATTTGAGGATGTGAACTTAATAATATTGTAGCCCTAGCTGGTTTGGCTCAGTGGATAGAGCATCGTCCCTCAGACGGAAGGGTCTCAGGTTTGATTCCGGTCAAGGGCATGTACCCCAGTTGCAGGCTCGATCCCCGGCCCTGATCAGGGCCCATGTGGGAGACAGTCAGTGTATGTGTCTCTCCTACATTGATGTTTCTCTCTCTTCCTCCCTCTACTCTCTCTAAAAATCAATGGGAAAATATCCTCAGGTGAGGATTATCAAATATATATATATATATATATATATATATATAATATTATTATTATTATTGATGCATGAACAAAAAAATTGGAAGACCATTGAATTAAAAATTGTTTACTTCAGCCTTCCAAATCTAGGTTATAGCAAAAGTCAGGTTGTAACATGTTGTAGTTGTTTGGATTTCCTTTGCCTTCTCTTACTTGGGTCCCTTGTATTCCTTGACCATGTTTTCTAAATAAAATGTTGAGACATAATGGTTTCACAAGCTTAAATGTACTAAGAACAGCAGTGCATCAGAAAAGTTGATATAATACTTTTAGATTATAAAAATTGTAACAGTTCTAGCATGCCTCTAGATTCCTATAAGACACAATGAGTTAATTTTCCTTTTCTAGAAAGAGGAGAATAATTGCTTTAGTGATCCTTTTGTAGGCCTCATGAAGAGGATTCCTGGGGGAGCTGGATATTCTCTTGTGCCGTCATTTCTAGGTACTGAGGTTCTTAAGGGACATCTTAACTCTTCCAGAGCACTTTAGGGAACTGTCAGTACTTGGGCCCTAGAGGTTGTGAGGCCACTTAAGACATAAGGAGTTATTTCTTCCTATGTATCTCATTAACCATCAGTAACTGTTGTTTTAGATAATTGAAAGTATAGAATTCTTGGAGTAGATATATAGGGCATGGTGCTTGCCACCAAATAATGTATACTCATTCAACATTTCTTATCTTGGGAAAAGTTTCATGTTGTCCATGTTAATTTTGGTTGCCCATTCCTGATAATATTTAATTACTATGACATGAAGTAATTTAAAATACAATGTTAATTAACATTTCATAAATATATTCTATGCTATGAAAAAGTACATTAATAATTTTGGGAAATTGAACTCATTTAGATAGTTTAGTAATGTTCCCGTCATAACAGAAATTGATGATTGCAACTGACTGATCATCTTAGAGTTGTATTTGCTCCAAATGGATATACATATATATTTTTTTGTTAATCCTCACTGAGTATATTTTTTTCATTGATTTCTTTTTTTTAAGAGAGAGTGGACAGGAGGGAAGGATGGGAGTGGGGAGAAACATTGATGTGAGAGAGACACATTGATTGTTTGCCTCCCACATACACCCCAGTCAGCCCAGGGATCGAACCTGCAACCCAGGTACATGCCCGTGACCAGGAATCCAGCCCAAGACCCTTCAGTGCGTCGGCTGATGCTCTAACCACTGAGAACACTGGCCAGGGCATGTTGTTTGTATTTTATGATTACAAATAATGCTTCAGAGAACATTGTAATGCAAAAGTCTTTGTGCACTTCTCTAACTAATAGGATAAAGTAGAATTACTGGATCAAAAAGAATGTGTTTTTAAAACTTGTATTTTTAAGTAGTACCTATTTATACTCTCACTGTGTATGAGGGTTCCTGTTTCCATTTTTTCAATTACTTTTATTCATTGTTAAACACAGCTAATGGAATAATTCTCCTATGGGATTATTTTAATCATGTCATTTTCTGACTGAAGACACTATTATGCTTATTTTGCTGCCATTATTTTAGGGAATCAATAACATATGTTAGATACTTTACATATATTCAGTTTCTTCTCTTTATTTTATAAATGATTCAGAGAGAACGAGGCTTAGGTCACACAATAAGTGGCTTAGCTTGGGTTTCAAACATATGTTTGTTACCAATTTCGTTTTTACTCCAGGAATAGTCTCTGCATATACAAACATAAATACCTGTGTGTAGAGGTATAAGAATGTGTGTGCATGGAGAAAAAAAGTGTTCAGTAGTTGTAAAATTTAGCAAAGTAAAATTTACTCAATAGCCACTGATTCCTAAAACATGGTTTATGTATTGATAACTTGTGTCAGAATCACCTGAGGTGCTTTTTAAAGTTACAGATGCCTGGCACCTCTGTGGAGAGATTGAACAACTTGGGAGCTTGACATATGGAGTAGGAAGCCTTTCTTGCACTTTTGAAATATTAGACAGCTTCTACTCTGTTTACTAATGATCAGCCTTAAGTGTGAGGCATTTTTATCATTCAAGGTAGAGGAAGCTAAAGGGGGAAAAGAAAAAAATGTTCCTGGCAAGGTAGGCTGATGCCCAATTATAGGATCATAAGTTGAACTATTCACTGATATTTAATAATATTGACAAGCCACCTAATCTTTTCAGGTATCAATTTCCTCATCTTTATGAGGGTATAGGACTAAATCTGTAAATATAGCACAGTGCTAAACAGCACTCTGAAGCCAGACTGCCTGGGCTTAAATTCTGGCTCTGCTACTTGCTAGTTCTATGGCTTTGAACAAGTTACTTAACTTCTCTGCACCTCAGATCTGTCAAATGGGAATGATATTAACTCCACAGTGTCTTGTAGCTTAGATTAAATGAGTAAATATAGGGAAAGCTCTTAGAAATATACCTGACACACAGAAGTGGTAGGAAAGTGTTAACTACTAGGTGTACCAGTTAATAATGCAGTTTTGTTTTTCAATAGATGGAGTTACACATAAGTTGATAAATATGCGATTTGATATGTATGCTATTTTGTATTGACAGCAAGTTTCAAAACTTCATATGTCAAATTTTCTGTAAGTGTTAACATCATAGATTTTTTTACGCTTAAATATGTAGAATTTTGCTCCCCAAAAAAAGCATTTGCAGGAAGTTTTAATTCATTAATTTATTTTGAAGAAAAGTGCTGCTGAAAGTTATCATATACTTTGGGAAGTTTATGGTGAACATGCTCCATCTCAAGATACTTGTGAATGCTGGTTTAAATGCTTTAAAAGTGATGATTTCGATGTGAAAGACAAAGAATGTCCAGTTCAACCAAAAAAGTTTGAAGACCAACAATTACAAGCATTATTGGATGAAGATGTGTGTCAAACTCAAAAACTACTTGCAGAAAAATTTAATGTTGCTCAGCAAACAATTTCCGATCTTTTACAAACAGTGGGAAAAATTTTAAAGGAAGGAAAATGGGTGCCACATCAACTGAACAAAAGACAAATGAAAACCCATCAGTAAAATGTTGCTTCAACAGCATGAAAAAAAAAGTCTTTTTTGCATCTAATTGTGACTGGCGATGAAAAGTGAATTTATTTTGAGAATCCCAAATGCACAAAATCATGGGTTGATCCAGGTCAACCATCAACATCGACTGCAAGGCCAAATCACTTCAGAAAGAAGACAATGCTCCATGTTTGGTGGGATCATGAAGGTGTGGTGTATTATGAGCTTCTAAAACCAGGTGAAACAAATAATACTGATTGCTACTGACAACAAATAATCTTTTTGAAGCACACTTTGATCGTGAAACGATCATAATGTACCAGAAGACATGGCAAAGTAATTTTGCTTCATGATGATGCACCATCACACACTTCAAAAACAGTTAAAGATACGTTAAAAGATCTTGCTTGGGAAGTATTAACCCACCCGCTGTATTCACCAGACCTTGCTCCTTCATATTGCCACTTGTTCCAATCGATGGCACATGCACTTTCTGAGCAGCACTTAAAAACATACGAAGAAGTGGAAAATTGGGTCTCTGAATGGTTTGCCTCAAAACAAGAAAAGTTCTATTGGGACAGTATCCACAAATTACCTGATGGGGAAATGGATAGCTAGCAATGGACATTACTTTGAATAAAGCACTTTTGATGTTTCTTTTGAAATTACCCTGTTTTCTTTGATTACAAAATCCGCCGTTATTAACCGGCACACCTAGTATATCCCTTCCAATTCTATGGTCTTCTAATTCTTGAGGTTTTGACTCATCACCAGATATCTATTTTGTACACTAGAACACAGGAATTACTTAATTATGGTTTATGAAGAACCATAATTAAAATCTATGAGTCAGTTTTTGGAGCCTCCATCCCCACAGTTGCATTAGATTATGAACTAAAATTGGGTAGTGCATTTCTTAATTGTACATAAACTTGTTTAAAAAGAGGGCCTTAGAGGCTTCATTAAGACTAAACCCTAGGATCTACTCACTGTCTCCCTGGGACGCCAGTATTCATTTACAAAGGTTGATTCAACTAATGCCATTTTAGTTGCTTCATTCTTTTTCTGCTATATCTGATGTTGCTAATGTCTGGCCACTGTTTTGGCCAGACATTAGCAACCAGCAACCTTTTGGACAATTCTCACAACTGAGCTGTTCCAGTTGGGCGGTCGTGAACTCCAGAGAATAGCTTTTCTTAAATCATAACAGTTGCTTATGCGTTAAGTCCCATTGAAAGAAGAATCTAAACCCAAGGGCTCTGAGCTTCATTCAGTATAAGAAAAAGTCAGTAAAAAATGAGCTGAGACATTTTATCTTGATTTAAAGATTTCAAACCATTTTTATCCCCTCTTTGGAGTAGAATCTTTCCTTAATAAATAAAATAGATACAGCAGAACTGCTCTGCTTGGAGAAATTGAAGTAAATGGCCTGGAGCCGAGCCTACCAGCCTTCTTTTCACTTATTCCCAGTCCTCCCAGATGGCCCCTGAATCGCTGTTAAGGAACTTTAGGACACCCAAGCTAAAAGTTTAAAAATGAGTGATGTAATTGATTTTAAGTTCATTTTGCCTATAACATTTATTTTCCCTAATAAAAGGATGGATTAAATAAAAATTAATCCTTTTTTGTGGGTTCTGGATCCTGTAATTTGTTTGATTTCTCTTCATTGCTCTCTTTCCCCCTTGGAATATACACTGTTGTTTTTAATTCTCTTTCTGGCGGCAAACTTCAGCACTTTGTATACTTTCTATAGAGATAAGATTGTTCTGGAGGCATGTGTGCAGCAAAGGTCTCTACCAGGAGAGAAGAAAAACCTTCGCTATTGACACAAACTTGATTAAAACATATTACCTTGAGCTCAGACTGTTTCTTTTTATTCATTAGATTTGTCTGCCTCTGCTCATTCCAAAGTGGTCATCTTTACTGTTAACTCTTTGGGTAGTTCTCAGTCCTACCTTGATGTGGTGCAGAGAAATGTGGATATGTTCAGAACCCTTGTCCCAGCTCTGGGACATTTTAGTCAACAAAGTGTCATGCTTGTTGCATCTCAACCAGGTAAAAGGTTTTATTTTAAATGAATTTGATGATCCAGTGCATCAGTAGAACTGCCATTACTGATAAAGTCATAAAACTAGATTATAAAAGGATAACTAGTCAATTAAATTGCTCTTATAATGAACAATACAGTATTTCCATATCTGTCATACAGTGACTTCTTATGACTAGCATTAACTAGAAGTTTACAAATTATAATTTTTATACCATACTACTAGTATTATGTTCCAGGTTGTTAGCCATGCTTTCCTCAGTGAGAAAATGGTTAAATTCCCAAGAGAAAAATGCAGTGGTTTATGTGAAAGAGCTTTTTTAAATTCTAAAGTGTCATAAAATGTTAGTGAGCATGCCAGAGTATATTTTTAACATTTTGAATTTATATTATTTGAAACTATTTTACTTAAGAAAGAAATGTTTTTAAAGAGTTAGGTGTGGTACTGGCCTCAGGTTGGTGAACTGATTTTTTACATGTTCCCCATATGGGAGTATGGCATGCATTTTACTTGTTTTTCCTGTAGTAATTGGTTGAGGGACTCTGGTCTCTTTAATTCTTGACATTCTTTTGGCATGTTAGAAAAAAAGTAGTTGTGTTTTTGTTCATAATCCTATACCACATAGTGGTGGTATATGAATCAGCATTTTAATTTAAAGATAGAAACTCATCTTAAGATAGATATAAAGGATAACTTGAGCAATGAAAAAATAATATCTTCTGGTGTTCTGTACCCGGTTTTTATCCTTCTTGCTTAACTATTTTAGGAAATTATTCTCTGCTTTTAACAATTTATATTTAGCAACAAAGTTATATTGAATCATGCTGAAACCTATTTTTTTTTAATATACATTGGAAATATACCTTATTTAGGACCTAAGAAGAATATATACAAGTTCTAATATACTTATTAAAATAATATTTGTTTATGAACTAGGCTAGAAGTATTTTTTTAAATATTTACATATTTACCTTGTGTGCAATATTTAGTGGAGATCATGACTTATGTGACATGGAAACAGAGTGCATTTCCTTCAAATCGAGTTATTGGAATTGGATGCAACCTGGACTCACAGAGGTTACAGTATATTATTACAAATGTTTTAAAGGCAGAGACTTCAGGAAAACCAGTATGGGTTATTGGTGAGCAGGGAGAAGACAAAGGTAAGAAATACATTTTTACTAGTTATATTGATGACCTAAATCACTAGTGCCCATGATATTCATATGTATCTGGAGACTCAAGAATTGTGGAGCTTAGTTGGAGCAAGTTCCACATTTGGATGCCTTTTCTGTAACATGCTCTGCATAGTGAATAGACTCCTCAAGTGTATTATCCTAATTATATTTACCTTTCTGTAAGTTTACAATTAGACAAGATTCCTTCGTCAGGTTTTATATTTCCTCAAAATGATTTTCTAAAAATTTAAAGCTTCCTATATGCTTTGATTCCAATTATTAACAGCAGTTATGTCTGGGGTAAGAAGTAACTTTTAAAAAATATGTACTTTTCTGTGTTTTATAATTTTGTTATAGACATGTGGTATTTGTATAATTTTTAAAGAAAATTATTTTAATAAAATATAGTAGTATTTTAAATATGTATAAATCTGCACTGGTCACCTAGAAAGTTCAGTGATATAGAATAAACTTTTACAGAGCTAACAGTATAATTCAAGCAGAAATACTTTCCAGGTTCAAAATGCTAAACATTAATCAATAGGACCTTAGAAAAGGGTATCGAACAAGAACATAGAGCCAGATGTATTAGAGTAATGAATGTCTAGGGATTCAAACAAAACCAAGACCTGAATTTTACTCACTACGCCATTTGAATTCTGATCCAGGTTGATCTTGTGCTTATCTGGTTATTGTAAATTTCCCAGTTAGTTTGCTCTTTCTCCTCTAGTCTACCAAATTAATAAGGATATTAGCCAAAAGTTACACAGTGTTTAAAAATGCTCTCATAATTCAACCTTCCTAAATCATATACCTCCTTTCAAAAACATTTACTGGCTTTCTCTGACCAAATCATTAAATTTCTTTGCCTGGCATTCTAGGAGTCCTACCCTCAGTATTCAAGGAATGCCCTAATCTTCCTTTCCAGTTATAGTTATGGAAGTAGTCATGTTATTAAAGAGTTGGAAGGAACCCAAGGGATCATCAATTATATTTTGTTTTAAGAACCCAGAAATGGATACAAGGTTGGTAAGAGTGACCTGCCCGGGAGCCTATAGCTTTCCTGGTCTAACACCCAGGACTTGTGCCGCCTAGCCCCACCTACAGCTTTGCTTCAGCCACCTCATTTTCTTTGCCCACCTCATTTTCCTCCTAATCCCTTCTCCCTCTCTTTCAGCATATTTAAATCTCATCCTTCAAGATTTCAGTCAAGCCTCCTTCCCCCCCTTATTACACTATGAAGCTTTTCCAGATCACATCACTTCACAGTGATTTTTTTCTCATTCCTTTGAACTAAAAGTTATTGTTGGCTATCTGGTGATTAACCATATATATTGTCTCATGATGTGAAACTGCTGTTTATTCTGATCCAGTTGGAATTTTATCTTTGCACCTTCTCCTTATTAAAAATGTAAATTATTAACCTGCTCTTCTAGTTGAAAAAAATTATACATTCACATCGCAAAAAATTTAAATAGTACAAAAAGGTATATAGTGGAAAATAGATCTCCCTTATATGCCAGACACCCCTTTCTGAAAAAGCAATCACAGTTACCAGTTTCTTATGTAACCTTACAGAAATGTTCTGTGCATAGAGAAGCAGATGTATAAAATATACATCATACACTATTCTTTACCTTGCCCTTTTACGTATTGATAACTTGCAAATGACTACTATATATAGTATATTTTGTTCTTTTTAATTACTGGATATATCAAAATGTATTTAACCAGTCCCCCTAATAAGTTATAATTTTTAATGAATTAGAACATTTCATAAATATGGTTGCACTAATATCACAAATTGTAAAGAGAAAATAAAGGATGGTGTGACAATAAGTAGACCTAAGACACTATGCTGACTGCTGTTAGAGCTATATAGATGTATAAGAACCTGACCCTGTTTTTAGGAAGCTTAGCATATAATATAGGAAATTACTGTAATAAAAGGAAGTATTGACTTCCTATGAGAAAGGTCTAAGGGAAGTAGGATAAAAGCATAAGGAATGATATGATAAATTTGTCTTCAGCACTCAGATGGAAACTAGAAATAGAGGGATGTAGGTATATGAGAATTGGGATCACTTAAGTATAATATGTATTATTTGACACATACAAAAGTATATCAAGTAATGAGTATACATATATATGTTTTAGGGCATAATAGAATAAATATTCATAACTTACAAATGTTTACTCATATATACATATCGATACTCAATCCACACTCAATTATTAAGAACAGTACTGATGCCACTGAAACTGCCTATGTACTTCCCAATCCATCTCCCCATCTTCCATTTAGATACCACTGTCAAATCACTTTTTTAAAAAAATATATTTTATTGATTTTTTACAGAGAGGAAGGGAGAGAGATAGAGAGCTAGAAACGTCGATGAGAGAGAAACATCGACCAGCTGCCTCCTGCGCACCCCCTACCGGGGATGTGCCTGCAACCAATGTACTGCCCTTGACCGGAATCAAACCTGGGACCTTTCAGTCCACAGAACGACACTCTACCACTGAGCCAAATCGGTTTCGGTTTGTCAAATCACTTTTTATCCTGTTTTCTATTTGTTTCAGAGATAGTGATGACCATGGATTGGTTATTTAGCTTGGCCCTGAAGCCAGAAATGGATTAGAGGCTCCCTCTGCTGGTTTCCTATATATCAACTGGTTATATTTTTGTATAAGTGATACCACCACAGTAATAGCATTTATATTAATTGCATGGTGTTCGTGCACTGGTGGGGGACATAGCCTGCAGGATCAGCCTGTTGTAGGAGCGCTGCTCATCCTGGTCAGCCTAGCGACTGTGGACCTGCCCTCTGAGTGGCTTATCCTTGTCAGCCGAGTGGTGCTCCCACTGTGGGAGCGCACTGACCACCAGGGGGCAGCTCCTGCGCTAAGCGTTTACACCTAGTGGTCAATGCACGTCATAGCAACCAGTCGTTCCACCGTTCAGTTGATTTGCATATTAGGCTTTTATTATATAGGACTAGAGGCCCAGTGCATGGGTTCATGCAGCGGTGGGGTCCCTCATTCTGGCTTGCATTATCTCGCAATCTGGGACCCCTCGGAGGATGTATAGTAGCTGGTTTTGGCCCAATTTTCACAGGCCCAATCCAGACAGAGGAACCCAATCCTGCGCATTGAGCGTCTGCCCCCTGGTGGTCAGTGCGTATAAGTAATTGGTTGTGTGGTCATTTGGTCGCTTAGGCTTTTATATATGTAGATTGAGTGAATACTATGTGTATTCCATGGTTTGCATATCTCAACTTGAGAAGGAGATGGTGGTTTTCCAAATGAATATATCAGGAAGCTTAAAATTCAGGTTGACTAATTTGTTTGTGGTTACACATGTAGTAAGGGCAAAACTGAGGTTTGAACCCTGGTTGATTCCAAAGCTGTGCTTTTTCTTGCTGTGATGTAATTAGATAATTTACTTAAAGCATTTAGTACAGTGTCTGGCATCAAGTAAACACTCAGTAAAAGTAGCTATTATTACAGTAATCAGCAAGATGGTTATGAATAAAAAATTGGTGAAAACATGTAGAACTATGTTTTGAAGTAAGGCAACATTAGGATTTGGAAACATAATAATAGCAGGTGTGTAAGTAAAATTATTCTCTTCAACTATTTCAGAGACAAGTGGCAACCACAGCCTAGGGAAGAAATCATATAATATAGAAAACCCTTTAGGATCTGTTTCCTGCTTCCTTCCCTGCTTCATCTTCTGCCATCCAGCCAGGCATTCTATGCTAGTCAGATGGTCAACTTGCAATTTCCTGATGGTTCATGCACTCTCATGTCTCCCTGCCTTTGCACCTGATGCTTCCTTTCCCTGAATATTCATTCACTGGCGAACTTCTGCTTACCCTTCAAGACGGCTTGAGTGCCACCTCTCCCAGGAAACCTTTCCTAATTAACCAGGCTAAGTAAGTTTATGCCTCTATTATAAACACTGTCACACTATATTATAATTGCATACTTACCTGTCTGTTTACCCCACAAGACTGTAAGCTCCTTGGAATGGTCTCAGTAAATGTGTTTTGAGATGAAGGAATGATCCTGACACCATCTTGTGATCAAAGGTCATTCATATTATGCCCTACCAAATTACTCAGCAAAACATGTACTTTGGAGCAGCTACTTTCAGCTGTGATATTGAAATCATATGTAAACTGCAGGTAGCTGCTTCAAATGGTGTTTTAGAAATCCAAGGCTAGACCTCAGAACGGAGTGTTAGATCATCTGCTTTACATACACATCTATCTTAACGAAGGGGAAAACGTTATGTAAAAGAAAAGTGCTGTCCCATGGTTATTTTTTATTCAAATTTTGGGATCCAGAGGATTACTGTTCTTGAAGAGTGGAACCAAAAAGTTTAGGATTGATATTAGATATAATATTTAAAAGGACTCCCTAAACTAGCATGGATTTACATTTAGGAAGTTTGAAATCTAGCCTAGAATAGATGGTCTAATTATTCCTCACCTTGTGAAAGAAATTAGTCTGTTTGGGTCCCAGTAGAACAAATGCCAAGTGTTTGTAATACTTGAGAGCCTATTATTCTCAGCCTGCTGAGGAAGGAAAGCTTTCTGTTTGGACAGTAAGATGGCCCAGGTAGAACTATTGTTGATGAGAGAGAACAGGTAAGGTGCTGCAAGTAGACTTTGGGGATCATATGTTTTGAGGATTGCAGCTCAAAGTCTTAACCCAGCTGTCACTACAGCACATTTAGTGTCATTAGTGGAAAATGTAACTATTGCTATTATAGAAGGTGGGTACCTTGATGGCAAACAATCATTTATCACATCTTAATCCTAAAAGAGTCATTGACAAAATATAATTGATTTTTCATTTACTTTTTAGTTACCAAATGGGGTGGCCAAGAAGAAGTCATGAGTTATAACTCTCAGGTGCAGCTGTCCAACAGGTAACACTGAGTGTAAATTTACATTTCTCTAACTAACATTTACTTTCCAGGCTCCTGCAGACAAAACTAGCTACCGGTACTATGGACACATCCAAAAATACAAGGGAGCAATGTTTTCTATTGTTTCCTATCTGAAAATGGATCAAAGAGTGCTTTGCAAACGTTACTTCAGATACACAGGTGACATTTAAGGTTTGAACTGCTCCTACCTATATCTAAACATCTGAGGATATTGACAATTTTCTTAAATGTAGAAGAAAACTTCTCATACCACTTACAATTCAATACATACTTATCAATACATTTAGAAATTAGTCTAACATGAATGGATAAGTCATATTGTAAGTGCATGCAAAAACAAAGTATAATGCACAGATCCTTGTATCTTTTGCTTTATTCATAGGCCTTCTGGGGGTAAAGAGGAAATAGGATGGACTCTACGTATATTTTCATGCCATTTATTGTTTCACCATCACATAATGACATATTTTTCTACAGTCTGAGTGGTGGAAATTTTTACTTTTTAAATCTTCAGAATATAGTTTTTAACTGGAAAGACTATTCTCTTATTGATAAGGGGAGTATGTTGCACAATCCATTCTAACCTGATTCTTTATATAAACCTGCATTTATAGCTTTTAAAAGGAAGAAATTCAAACATGTTTTTAAATTCTATATCATGTTTTATTAGTTACCAAAGCAATGTGTACTATTGTAAAACTGTAAATGCTGTATGTAGATATCAGTAAAGCAGGAAATTAAAAGCTGGGGTAATTCCATTTTCTAGAAGCAACCACTGATAACAGTTTAGTGTCCAGATGTTCAAACATTTCTTTCAATGCTTCTGCAAACATCATTTTATTATTTTTTAATAACAGATTTATGTTATTCATATTATCTTGCTACTTGCTTTGTTTTCTAATAATAAATCTTGGACATTTTCCATATTGCCCATATAAATCTACTTTATTCTTCTCTAGAGCTACATGGCACTATATTGAATAGTGATTTATTTAACTCACTTTTGATTGTTTCCAAATTTTTTCTGTCTCAAGGCAAACATAATTATATGTATTATTTCGCACATTTGAGCATATTTCTGTAGGACAAATTCCTAGAAAAGGAATTTCTAGATCAGATGTTACCAAACTTTTCTCCTAAAAAATTGTATCACCTTACATTCTCACTGGCAGTTATGGGAATGCCTGTTTTTCTAAAAGTGGTTACCAATTTTTTTTAAATATTTGCCAATTTTGATAGGCAAAACTGATGTATTGTTTCAATTTACATTTAGTTAAATAGTAATGGTAGAGCATCTTTTTATGTTAAGCCATTTGTATTGTCCTTCTTTGAACTGCTTATCCAACATTTTAAGAAAACATTAATCATTAGTTTATCTGTGGGTTTTCCTAACAATTAGTGTATAACTCATATTTTTGTTATAAAAATATGTAATTAATACTTTAAGTTGAAAGATTAAATACATATTTTATTCATTTTCTGAATTGATTTTTTTCCCCCATAACCTAGAGCCATGGAACTATTAAAGGTAAAAGGTCAAAGATCCTGGTCTGTTGGACTATCAGTAGCTGACCTGGTTGACAGCCTTATAAATGACAGAAAGAAAGTGCATTCTGTATCAACTTTAGCAAAGGTAATTGCTATTCTCATTCTCTCATCATATGGTTAAACTTCTATATTATTATCTTAAAACCTGAAAAGATGTTATTCATATTGTAATGAGGTATCTTCAACATTAGAGTACTACATGGGAGGGAGGCAGTTTGGTCTAAGCCCGATCTAGCTTGGCTACGGAAATTCTGCACTTCTACCATGTTTCTCTTCACCTCCATGTAATTTTGGGGAATTCCTAAGAAGCACTTAAATATTCCATAAACTTCTTCTGGTTGTCCTTAATCACCTTAGCCAGCCAGGTCACCCCAGACTGACGTGTCACCAGTCTTAGCTGTTCATCAGTTTGCACTCTCCAGCACAGTTGTCCTTTACCACTTCATCTCAAGCACCACTAAGACAGGCACGTGCTTAACCAAATTTTCTTGAAAACTTAGGAATACCAGGAGACATAAAACATGGGAAGGAGAACTTAAAACAGGTTATTGTATTTGACTGTACCAGAGCCTATACTGGGCCCCGTCCCCTGGGAATCTATTCTGTCTTTTTTCTTTGCCTCCAATTTGCTACTCATATTGCAGGGGGCTAGCTTCTCTTCCCATAAAGGGGATATATCTTTGACCAAGTTCTTCCCATCTCCCAAAAAATATCTGAAACAATAACTTGAATTTAGAAAATAAATGAACAAAAATATTTTTTTTAAAGTTCAACTGTATCACTTTGTACTAAGGCTGTAAAAGCAAGAAAGTAATCGTATTTATGATATTAACTTGTTTGTAGTGCTTTAGCTCTATTATAATCTAATTTTATTCATTTCAGGGATATTATGATATAAATAGTGAAGTGTTTTTAAGTTTGCCTTGCATCCTTGGAGCCAGTGGGGTATCTGAAGTCATCAGAAGCACAGTGCAAGAAGACAGAGTGACTGAGAAACTCCAGAGCAGCGCCTCCACACTCCATGATCTCCAACAACAGTTAAAACTTTAAGTCCAAAGCTACCTGGAGGGAAAGGTCATTTAATTTTGCCAACATATATAGGGCTGAGAACTTCTGTATCTTATTACTAATCCTTACAAACTGCTTGGTTAAGGTAGATGGTTTGTTGGTTGCTTTTGTAATTTGAATTCTTAGGGAGTTAGATAAGAAGGGGGAAATCTGATTCTCTTTGTCGTTCTTTATATAACTATATCATTTTTTAAACCTATAGCAGAGATGAACTTTATCTGCAAAATGCATCATGTAAAATTACGTATCCTCAACTAAAAGCACATTCAGCACTTTGGGAATATTTTGAAAGTGATACATTTTTAAGAGAAAAGTACTCTTCAGCTGTTACAGTAAACATGCTAAGCCAAAGGCTCAGTATGGATTAGCCAAATATGTGCTAGGTATACTGTTAAAGGATCCACAATTTTAGGTATAAAAGTAAAATTGGTAGTAATGGTAATAAAGCATTTTGTTTTCCTTCTTAAATTAATTAGCTACCAAACAATGGAAAATAATTTTACATGTACTTTAAAATAGTAAAAGGGAAAGTGAGTTTCTTTTTAAATATATGAAGGAAAATTATAGTTACCTTCCAGTGGAAAATTTCAAATTCCTTTTTGAAGTTTTCTATAACCTGTTTCTGGGCTATCAGATCTCTAACACCTCATAAATTCACTGTAATATTAGAATCAGAGAAATGTGTGTTTTCAGTGAAAATAGATTGCGAATGAAAGCCAAGCAGTTTACTTCTAAGCTAAAATATGAGGCTGTCATAAAAGCCATTGGTTTTAAAGGGGGAGAGGTTGGATAGACTGATTATTCTGAGCAAATCCTGTAACAATTCCTAAAGAAACTATCAGAGTACATACCCTTTGGTAATGGTTCAGTAACAATATCTTCATATGTGAAAGATTGCATATTATTACTGAGGTGGCATACAACTAATAGTAATAGTCAACATCAACACTTGATGTTTCAGGCAGTGTGATGAGCACTTTATTATTTTATTGTGCTCACTGTAACCCATTGAGGTGGGAATTATCATCCTCATTTTACAGAGGAGAAAACTGAGCTTTAATGGCCAAGATCTCATGGGCAGGAACTGAGCTTTAGTGACCAAGATCTCCTGGGTAAAGGGCACTTACTTATCCACACAACCTCTACTTTTTCTAAGTGCTAGTAGAGGGAAAAGGCCTAATAGCCAAAATAGTCACCACAAGCCCCTAATGCTGGGGTTCTGTACTCTTCCGTTCTAATGCAGGAGCTGACTTCCCCCAACCCCAACTTAGTTTTTAGAAAGATTGATTCCCTGACTTCCCGATTTGCCCTCAGCAAATAGCAGAAAGGGGTATGCACTGCCGTAGGTGTTTGTTTATCTGGTTATTCAGGTAGTATTGACTGGGAGCCCACTATACTGCAGCACTGCATTTTTAGGCACTGCAGGTACAGTGGTGAGCAAACATGGGTTTAGGTACAAGTCCTATGGTCCTTATAATTTAGTACGGCATACACAGTGGTCAAGTGTCACAAATAAATGTACAATTGAAAATGTAATAAGTTCTGTGAAGAAGTCCAGCTGCTTTGAAAGCATATCATAAATAAATGGTCAGAGAGATGGGAGCCCAATGGTTTATAAGGACAGATATATCCTAGATAGAGAGGAAACCATCGATCTAATGCTGATTTAGTACAATAATTTTATAATGATGAGCTTAAATCATTAAGAAAAGATGAGAGTATATTCAGTATATAGTCAATTTATATTATATGCTGGGTTTAAAAAAGTAGGAAAGTATTTAATATGCATGGAAAGATTCCTATCAGAATTAACGAGTATAAAAACCTTGGACATTTGAAAGAGATGAGCATTAGTTCTGTATAAGTTCACTAGATGGGTAGATGATTTTGGTGTTACTCTAGCAATGTACCCTCATTGTCCATTTGTATGAGATAGGAAAGTAAAACTGAAATAACAATTCTTGTGTTTTTTAGAAATATAACTAGCCTTTTCTAATAACAGATATCTAATGAGAAATTAGATAATGTTACTGTCTAATATGCTCTAAAACATAAATCTAACCACAAGATACTGAATTATAGATAAATTGCCAAGAATTTAGTACGTTAATTCTATAAGAAACATGACAATACAACAAATATTGAGCACCTATTATTATTTCAAGTACTATGTTAGAATCTGAACATTCAAAGATGAGTAACAGTCCTTGCCCTATAGAAGCCCACAACATAGAAGTATTCTTTTTATTCTTTTTTTAAAAAATATATTTTATTGATTTTTAACAGAGAGGAAGGGAGAGAGATAGAGAGCTAGAAACATCAGTGAGAGAGAAACATCGGCCAGCTGCCTCTTGCACACCCCTTACCGGGGATGTGCCCGCAACCAATGTACATGCCCTTGACCAGAATCGAACTTGGGACCTTTCAGTCCGCAGACCGACGCTCTAACACTGAGCTAAACCAGCTTCGGCAACATAGAAGTATTCTATCACACAGTTCCTTGAGTGTTGAATATTATAGTTATGTTGTAAATTCCATATACAAGTCAAGAAGCAGTATCACCACCATCTCACTATGATTTAGTAATAATTTGACATTCGTGATGCTGCTATTAAGTTTCACTTTTTTATTTTTCCAAAATCATGCAAAGTCTCTTGTTCTAAGTTTTAGTGGTGCTTAGAATTAAAATGATTCTTTGATATTGTAGCAGAAATAAATATTTTATTTTTCCAGTTTTACATTGCGGTTTTCCTTAAATGTCAAAAATTATCAAAAAAATAAACTTGGACTTTAAAATCACCAGGAGATGTCTAATTTATTGAGTGGAAGGAAATTTATTCAGATTGAAGAGATGCTTTCATATAATTTTATAGTCCCCAGATATTTAGTTATTTCATTTTAAGTGGCTTAAATGCAAAATGAAGAGATTTTGTTAATTGTCAAACTTTAAAAAAATACTTTAGCAAGAAAACTTTTTAAACAATGTTTTATCTGCACTCCCACAATTAATAAAAGCATAGTTGCTCTAAATTAGGTATAGGGAACCTTTTTCTGCCAAGAGCCATTTAGATAATTGTAACATCATTTGAGGGCCATACAAAATTATCAACTTATGGTTTCCTTTGACGAACTGTATGCTTTACTAACGTATGGTGTCCATATTTTTAAAAGCAATGTAGTTTTTGTGTTTGCATGCAACAATTTATAATGATGCTTTCATGTGATTTCAATTACACCTTTTGTATGTGTACCTTCACTTAAGCGCCAACTTAGAAGGGAATTCATACAACCTGTTCCTCATTAGCACTAGGCTGAATCATCCAAATTACCATACTATGGTTTACAATACCTTGAATAACATTATAAAACTGGTAATGTTCAGTGACTAATATGACTATGGAAAACTTATCTGAAGTAGAAATTCAATTAAGATCAAGTACTCTTGAGCATCTGAAGACAAGCCTGCCCTCAAAGACTTGGACTTTGACAGTGGACATGTTAGTATACAAACCTAGTGCAAAGTAAATGCAGGCTCTGTTAGCATTTATGTCTGGGCACAGAGAAGTTCTGACCAATGGTTTGCTGAAGAAATTACTACCAGGCTTCCTGTGAAGGAGGAATCTGCACTTTGCCCTTGGGAAAGCAATATTAAGAACTTACAAGCTTTCTGCCGGGACCGGTTTGGCTCAATGGATAGAGCGTCGGCCTGGGGACTGAAAGGTCCCGGGTTCGATTCCGGTCAAGGGCATGTACCTTGGTTGCGGGCATATCCCCAGTAGGGGATGTGCAAGAGGCAGCTGATCGATGACTCTCTCTCATCGATGTTTCTAACTCTCTATCTCTCTCCCTTGTTCTCTGTACAAAATTAATAAAATTAAAAAAAAAAAAAAACAAAAAACACTTACAAGCTTTCCCCTAACCGGTTTGGCTCATTGGATAGAGTGTCAACCTGCGGACTCAAGGGTCCCAGGTTCGATTCTGGCCAAAGGCATGTATCTTGGTTGTGGGCACATCCCCAGTAGGTAGCTGATTGATGTTTCTTTCTCATCAATATTTTTAACTCTCTTTTCCTCTCTGTAAAAAAATCAATAATTAAAAAAAAAGAACTTATAAGCTTCAAACAAACAAAAACCCTGAGACACTGGGCATCATATAATGCAAGCCGCTCATTTTAGAACTGTTAAAAACTTCAGCCCAAGCTTGCTGTTATCATAAGGGCAGTTGTCTGGCGCCCAGTTCAGTGCCCTCCCATTCCATGAATCAGGCATTAAAGCTCGTTGGCGACACCTTCATTGTACTTCCCCTCCCGGAGGCAACTATGAAACACCTACAGATCCTGCCCCAGCCCAGGGTCTCCACCCAGGGGTCCAGCATCCCTCCACTGCGGGAGCGACCAGCCGCACCTGAGCAGCTGGTGGGCGGGAACCTCCGCAGCGCCAGCGATTACACCGGAAGTGACGTAGAGGAAGCGGAAAGTCTGTCCTGGCGGCCGACTTCCTGTTGTGAGAGGCGGGGCGGCGGTGGGCTGGCTGGCTCCTTGGTGTTCAGTGCTGTCGGGCGTCCTGGGCGGCCCCGGCGCGGCAGACCCTCTGCCTGCGGGGACGGAGCGGCGCGGAGGCCGCCATGGCCGTGTCGGAGAGCCAGCTCAAGAAGATGGTGTCCAAGGTGAGGCCGCGGCGCGTTCGCCCCCGGCGCGCGCCCACCGCTGCCTTCCGTGCCCGGACGGCACGGCCCGAGCAGGCAGTCCAGCGAGCCTGCCGGGCCGACCCGCCGGGAGCCCAGGGTGGTCCTCGAGCGCCTCTGCGGCCCGGACCCAGAGGTCCCGCTCGCCTGGAGCCCGGACCCGACACCGGGCGGGGAAGGTGGGGGGCGGCGGCTGTCCACAAAGGCGCGGAGTGGAGGCCGCCTGCCACCTGCCGCCCGGCCCCCTCTCTTTGGATTGAGTTTGGAGCAGTCTGTGGGGCAGAGTAGTTTTCGTTTTCGTTTTTATAAGCACAAAGAGAAGGTTGTATTGAATTCTCCATCTGGGGCAGTCCTCCACTCCAATGAAGGGGTCCGTCATCCCTGGCCCTTCCCTCGAAGCCCCCAGAGATTGTCTTTCTCCGTTTTGTATTCCTCGCTCAGCTCAGTACCCGACCGGCGGGAGATCAGTAGCTATTGGTGAACAGGCTCGATTTAGGTAAAAACGTCCAGAGAAGCCAAATTACCAGTATCTCCCTACCTCGGGTAAAATAGAATTGCATTACTATTTCAGGGACTTTGATTGGCTAAGAGCAACTATCTTGTCATTTACTTTTTAAATATTGTGGGGGTTTTTTCAATGGAGTTTATATTATTTTGTATTAGTTTCAGGTGCACAGCATAGTGGTTAGATAAGCACATACTTTGCAAAGTGTTCCCTCTGATATTTCACCTGGCGCCATACATAGTTATTACAATATTATTGGGTATATTCTGTATGCTGCATTTTACATCCCATGACTTTTTTGTGACTACCAGTTTGTACTTTTTAATCCCTTCACCTCTTTCATCCAGCCTCCCATCTCCCTCCACTGCTGGTAGCCATCAGTCTGTTCTCTGTATCTGTGTCTGTTTCTATTTTGTTTGTTTTGTTCGTTAGATTCCACATAAACGTGAAATCATATAGTATTTGTATTTCTCTGTCTGGCTTATTTCACTTAGCATTAGTATCCTCTAGGTCCATTCATGCTGTCACAAATGGTGAGATTTCATTTTTTATGACTGAGTAATATTCCATTGCATTTATGCACTGTTTCTTGTTTATCCACTTCTTTATTGATGGACACTTGAGTTGCTTTCATATCTTTTCTTAAAATATATTTTTACTGATTTCAGAGAAGAAGGGAAAGGGAGAGAGATCAAAACATCAATGATGAGAGAGAATCATTGATCGGCTTCCTCCTGCACGCCCACTACAGAGGATTGAGCCTGCAACCCAGGCAGGTGCCCTTGACCTGAATCTAACCTGGGACTCTTCAGTCCACAGGCCAAAGCTCTATCCACTGAGCCAAATTGGCTAGGGCCATATCATGATTATTGTAATTAACACTGCATTGAACATAGGGGTGCATATATTCTTTTGAATTAGTGTTTTGGGTTTCTTTGGATTATACTCAGAAGTGGAATTGTTGGGTCGTAAAGCAATTCCATTTTTTAATTTTTTTTTTTTTTTAGGAATCTCATGTTTCCCCACATTAGGTGCACCGATCTGCATTCCCACCAGCAGTGCATCAGAGTTCTTCTTTATCCATATCCTCCCCACCACTTGTTTGATGATTTATTGATTATAGTCATTCTGACAGGTGTGAGGTGATATCTCATTGTGGTTTTAATTTGCATTTCTCCAATGACTAGTGACATTGAGCATCTCTTCATGTCTATTGGCCATAAAAGTAACTATCTTTAATTGTATGCTTATAACATGAATTTATTTGCTTTGAACTTCATTTATAATCCTCACAGTTCGCGAATAGTGTAAATTTTCTTTTTTTAAAAAGTGGGCATTTTGTTTATTAAAGCTATGCATTATTTTGGTAGTTACTTCAAATATGGCACCTGATATCAGAGTGAACCTGGGCATTTGTCGCCCCCCCCCCCCATATTTACCAAACCTAATTGGAATAAGATGCATGTGAAGTGATTGAGAGTTGATTCTTCTGTAGTTCACTGGGTTAGCTTTGGATGTTTGTCAGAGCAAGGATGATAAAAATCAGCCCTACCTGGTTTAGCTCAGTGGTTAGAGTGTTGGCCTGTGGACTGAAGGGTCCCAGGTTTGATTCCAGTCAAAGGCACGCACCTAAGTTGCTGGTTCCGTCACTGGTGGCCTGATGTGTCTTTCCCATTGATTTCTCTCTGATTCTCCCCCTTCCTTCCACAATCTCTTAAAAAACAACAACAAAAAAAAAAAACGGAAAAAATATCCTTGGATGAGGATTAACAACAGCAAATAAAAAAAATCAACTGACTTGAAAAAATCACAAGTCAGTTGATTTTTTTTTTATTTGCTGTTGTTAATCCTCATCAGTAAGTAGCATCAATATGTGAAATTTCATACTGTGGTGGACGGCTAGCTTCAGGTGTTATTCTTTTAGTCTGGTGTGGTTCTTGTAGGAATTGCTAGCCAGGACCCTAGACACAGGTGATGGTCCTTGATTCTTTATCTTATTGTGGAATCCTGCACCCATCATAGTACTTTGGTCCACCTGTCTTAACTTAATGTGTCTTTATTTTGAGATACAGCTGACATAACATTATATTACCTTTTTATATATTATTACAGATCATTTTTTTCCTTTGAACATTATCTTAGCTCCCAACTTAAATATTACTTTTACTTAACACCCTCCTCTGCCATTATTTGAGCAATTTATGGAGGTATATTTATACCATTAGTCCATCTTTCTTTATACAAATAACTTTCTACTTTAAGTTTTTCAGGCTTTAACTAATGTTAATGATTAGTCAGAATCATTATACTTTTAAAAGAATGCTATTAAAAAGTAAGATTTTAAGAAAATTAACCTAGCAGTAAAATATGTACATTGGTTTTAAACTAAATTCTTGTGTGATTTTGCTTTTCAGTACAAATACAGAGACCTAACTGTACGTGAAACTATCAACGTGATTACATTATACAAAGATCTCAAACCTGTATTGGATTCATATGGTGAGTTTACATAACAAAATATCAATCACTGTACTTTGAGTTTACTCCTCTTGTTAATTATTTTAGGTTTTCCATTTTCCTTTTAAGATTGTCCTCTTTTCTATTAAGACTATACCTCCACCTAAGGTAAATATTGGAGGAATAGAAAATTGCAAGACCTAATAATAATAATGTCTTATATTTGTTTAGTTATTTTAAGTGTTAAAAAGGTACTCAAAGATATAACTATGCAAATTTAGACCTAGAGGGGATATTAAAGATGGTTTAGTTCATCTTTTCCCAAAGTATTATCCATAGTTGTGAAGAATGTTGCTGGGAGTTTGGGTTCTATGGTTAAGTTTGAGTAGTTACAGATTAAACAAAATTAAGTGGGCTTCTTTGCAGCAGTGTTGCAATGTTTCTCAGAGCCTTTAATGTGCTACCTCACCAAGAAGGGGGAGGATATAGTGTAGTGTATCCTAAAGTTAATTAACTACTGACACATTCCTCCCTGCCCCCAGCATCTCTGTATCTTCTTAGGAAGACATTTAACAAAACTATATACTGGACTATCACTTATTTTATAAATGAGGAAAACATTTTTAAAATATGATGCTTAATTTTGTAGAGTGCGTAGGTGACAGTTTTGTTATTGAGACAAATGAAGTGGGTTTTGAGTAAGAAATAACAATACCTAAAGTTCTTTTTTTTTTAATAGTCTTTTTGGCCCCACACCTTATGTGCCAGGGCCAAGAGCTCCTGTCCATTAGGAGGTCCTTGGCACCGAGGACAAGGAGCTGAATTCTTTTTTTCTTTTTCTTTTCATTTTTTATTAAGGTATATGTGTACATATCTTACCATTGCCCCCCCACCCTACTCCCATTCATGCCCTCACCCCCCAGAGTTTTGTGTCCATTGGTTATGCTTATATGCATGCACACAAGTCTTTCAATTGATCTCTTATCTCCGCACCTCTCCCTAACCTAACCTTTCCGCTGTAATTTGACATTCTGTTTGATACTTTACTGTCTCTGTATCTATCTTTTTGTTCAATAGTTTATAATTTTCTTTTTTTTTTTTTTTTTTTTTTTTTTAAATATATTTTATTGATTTCATACAGAGAGGAAGGGAGAGAGATAGTTAGAAACATCGATGAGAGAGAGTCATCGATCAGCTGCCTCTTGCACACCCCCTACTGGGGATATGCCCGCAACCAAGGTACATGCCCTTGACCGGAATCGAACCCGGGACCCTTGAGTCCCCAAGCCGATGCTCTATCCATTGAGCCAAACCGGTCCCGGCATATAATTTTCTTTATTATCCATAAATGAGTGAGATCATGTGGTATTTTTCTTTCATTGACTGGCTTATTTCACTTAGCATGATGTTCCAAGGAGCTGAATTCTATAGCTGAGATTCTCACTCTAAACTCCACTCACTCCTAGGGCTTTGAAAACATTAGGAGCCTGGTGAGGAGAGGTGGGCGGCAATAGAGGGACAACCAGTCCTGAGTTTCTTGAACAACAAAGACGTGAACTTCAAATTCTCTTCCAAATAGGGCACGATTCTACTTCATGTCCACATACTGTACAGTGGTATCTAGAGCCGCAAATACCTCGTATTACCAAAATTGGTTTATTTAAAACTGGCTTTGGTGGGGCGGAGGGGGATTGGAGCTAGAATTTTACTGTGATAGTTTTTACTTCATGCTAAAAAAGTAAGTATGTTGGTCAAAACCAGCAAAGACTCCAACATCATTAAACAAATCTTATATTAACCTTATATGGCCAGACCATATCAAAACCATTATTATCAATATGCTTTTAGAGTAAAATAAGTCATAATTTAAATAAGATGTGTGTTTTTTTGTTGTTTTTTTAAACACAACACAAAATCAGAATAAATTACAGCATAGTTTATAGTTGTCAGCAGTAAGTAAAAGAACTAAGGTCAACAGTATTTTATTGTACTTTACATTGCAGCCTTTTCCCAATGTGGTACAGGGTTAATTCCAAATTATTATTACAAACTAGAGGCCTCAGTGCACGAATTTGTGCACTAGTGAATGTGGCCTGTGGGGACCAGCCCACTGTGAGAGCAGCCACTCATCCTGGTCAGCAGAACAGTGCTACCACAGTGGAAGCACACTAACCATCAAGGGCAGCTCCTGCATTGAGCGTCAGGCCCCTGGTGGTCAGTGCACATCATAGCAACTAGTCGACCAGTCTTTCTGGTTCTGTCATTTGGTCATTGGGCTTTTATATATGTAGGGTATAGCAGCCAGTATAATACAAATTATGTGTGCTTTAATCAATTATACTTAGAAAAACTTGTGTGATTTGGTATGATACATATTCATATTAAAAGATGTTTATATTTCATTGTGAAAACTTTTTTAAAACTGGTTTGATGCTATGTTTGGGCTAAACATATGGGGAATCTAAAATTTTATATTAGACTAATAGTATGGTATTAGTTAATAGTGTTTTTTTTATATAATTTTATAATCATGTTTGTTGGGGAAGCAGAGTTCATGTTTACTGGGATTGTAGTACTCATTCATTTTTACAAGTACTTCAAAGCGCCTTTTCTTTTTTCTTTCTCTTTTTTCAAAGCACCTTTTCTTTACTCATTTAAAAACTGATCCCACTGAGTGAATCAGCAAAGGATACTCTGTTATTCGGCAAAATGGGTGAAACATTCAGCAAGTTAACCCATTTCAAGGGTAATAATGGGTTTTAACCAGCACTTCTGAAAGAATAACTTACTGGGAACATCTACAAAAATGCTCATGTTTAAATCATTATTCTTTCCTTTTCAGTTTTTAATGATGGCAGTTCCAGGGAACTAATGAACCTCACTGGAACAGTTCCTGTGCTTTATAGAGGTAAGTATCTTATGTAATTTATGTTTCCAGTATAGAGGCATTTTGACTCACATAATATGTTGTCAAAGAGTTATAAGTAAATTAAACCTATTGTATTTCCTCATGATTTTCATGACGATGTAGAGATTTAACTTCTGTTGAAATTGAACTTCATTTGTCAGCAGCACCTACTATTTCAGCTTATTTTCCCTTTCCTACCCACATATCATGTATCAATTAGTGACTTCTTGTGCTAAAATTTCATAGAATCAGAGAATCTTAAAACTAGAATCTCTCATGCCTCCTAGTTGAGCATCCCACCCCATTTAGACTTTCCTGACAATGGTAGCTGTACAGTGTAGTGGCTAAGATAGAGGCTTTAAAGTCAGGGCAGCCACGCTGACATGGCTCAGTAGCTGAGTGTTAACCATGGACCAGGGGGTTATTCAATTCCTGGTTGGGGCATATACCCGGGTTCCTAGTGTGGGGCATGCAGGAGGCAGCCAGTCAGTGATTCTCTGTTGTCATTGAAGTTTCTACCTTTGTCTCTCTCAAATCAATAAAAATACATTTTTTTAAAAAAAAAGGGGGGGAGGAATTAGGGCAAAGTAAGGTTTCCGTTCTCTCTCTAATCAGGTTTGTGACAATGGGCATCTGTAACATTTGTATAATAGTATCTATCTCAAAAATTCATTGTATGTCAGGACTTAAAAATGAGTCTGGTATGTAATAAACACATCAAAAAGTTGGTTTTATTTAAGGTGGTAATGTTGGTGATAATCTGATGATGGATAATTACATATCTATTAGCCAGTCAGCACCTTCTGCTGGGATACTTTACAGTGATCAGGGAACATTCAGTTTTAAATGACAGTTCTGTTTTTGGACAGCTCTCTTTGTGAATTATTCCTTGTGACTCATTAAGACCTGTGTCTAATTTAGCCATTAATTTTGAGTAGTACCTACTATGCATGAGGCATAGGAGATAAGGGCTATAGATGCAAAGATAAGTAAAAGTGTACCTTCTCTGGAAGAAGTTATACAAATAGGGAAAACAGAGGGAATAAAGAGGTATTTATAATATTCCATAACTGCTATAGAATGATAAAATATAAAGGTGCTATGACACCCTAACCGCTTTGGCTCAGTGGATAGAGCATTGGCCTGCGGACTCAAGGATCCTGGGTTCGATTCCAGTCGAGGGCTTATACCTTGGTTGCAGGCACATACCCAGTGGGGAGTGTGCAGGAGGCAGCTGATCGATGTTTCCCTCTCATTGATGTTTGTAACTCTCCATCGCTCTCCCTTCCTCTCTATAAAAAAAAAAATCAATAAAATATATTTAAAAAAAATAAAGGTGCTTTGAGATTACAGAGGAGAATAAGACCATATTGGAAAATAATTACATTTGAACTTTGTGTAGTTATCAATTAGCTACTGAATCCTGTTGATATATTTTGCAAACAGAAAATTTAAAAAACTGATCTTAAACAGAACTTTAAAATATTAAAATATTTGTGATTTTTTAAAAGTATTGCTTACTTGTAGCTCTCTCTTGCTCGCCTACTAAGCCATTATTGAAAAATAATTTAAAAAATGGAGTAACTGAAGTTTTTCTCTCTCTCAGGTAATACATATAATATTCCAATATGCCTGTGGTTGCTGGACACATACCCATATAATCCCCCTATCTGTTTTGTTAAGCCTACTAGTTCAATGACTATTAAAACAGGAAAGCATGTTGATGCAAATGGAAAAATATATCTTCCTTATCTACATGAATGGAAACACGTAAGTATTAACAGTGTTCTGTGAATTTGTTGTATTTTATATATTTTGCTTACTGGCATCTATTTTTTAACACTCAAAGAGAATTCCAAAAAGGAGATAAGTTGATATAAGATCACAAATTGCTGAGCTGAGTAATCGGAAAAGTCTCTCCAGAACAGATATAGTCATGTGCCCTATGACAACAACAGATCGCATATACAATGGTGGTCACATAAGATAATGGAAATTCCTATTGTCCAGTGATGTCGTAGCCATCCTAACATTATAGCACAACTCATAACTCATGTTTGTGGTCATGCTGGTATAAGGAAACCTACTATGCAGCTAGTCATATAAAAGTATAGCATACACAATTACGGTGGTAGGCTATTCCATCTAGGTTTGTGAAAGTGCACTCTGATGTTTACACAATAATGAAATCACTAACGCATTTCTCAGAATGTATCCCGTGACTGTATATCTTACATTTGTATAGAGCTTGGTAATTTACAGCATACACATAGTCACTTTCATTTGCTTGAATTGAACCTTTAAGAATAGGTAGAATTCATACAGTAGGAAGTGCATTTTAAAAAATAGTATACCGATGTCATATATTTGTGAAACTTCAAATCTCATTACTCAGTGTTCCTTTCAAGAAGTAATAGGAAACTTTTGTTTCTGCCTCTGATGGTAAAGCTCTGGCAGACCAGTGTTCTTATCAAAATAAATAGAAAAAAACAAAGTACAAACAACAACTCTAAGGCTTTGGAGACTGTTGAGGCAATCAGACTTGAAAGGCCAAGATCCACTAGTGAAGAGAACTGAAAGAGATAAGCCAACATTCTGCCTATTTCCCCTGGGTGTATTTACTGATTTATGCCACAGGGTAAGAGGCTGAGAATCTGACAGATGGCCTTCGCTAAGAGGCAAAAAAACGTGAAGAGTTTCTAGCTGTTTCACGAGGCTGAAAAGACAACAGTTGTTGTTCTGAATGCCAATACAGCCAGTAGTTTAGGAACCAAAATTTGGGAGAAGGGGAAGTTACAAAGAAATAAACCAGCCCCGCCAGCATGGCTCAGTGGTGGAATGTCGACCTAGGAACCAAGTGGTCATAGTTGGATTTCGTTCAGAACACATGCCCATTAGGAGGCAAGCTGGAGGCAGCCAATCAATGAATCGCTCTCATTATTCTCTCCCTTTCTCTCTGAGATCAATAAAAATATATTAAGAATAAATAAACATATTCAAAAATAAATAAGTAAACAAGATAATCTGCATTTACCCAAGATAATCTGCATTTTCCCCTTAAGGGATATGCTGGATTCCTAAGCTTCAAAGACAAGATGCTAGAAAGCCCTGGCTGGTTTTTCTCCATGGTTATAGCATCAGCCCAAGAACCAAAGGGTTTCGGGTTCGATTTCTGAATAGTGGGACTTGGTAGGTTTTTTACAGGAAGCTTTCTAAAATGTTACTTGTTATTGTTCCTAAGTTGAGACAGATTGAACATATGTGGTGAGTTTGGTGCTTAGAAAGTTGAAAACTGCTAATGAATCTTCTATCCGGAAAAGAGAAATTGAGAAGATCATTGGCTGATCCAGATTAATTAATCCTTCAGCACCTGATGAACTCATGCATGAAGTAAATCAGATGAGATATACACAGACTATATTAAGGAATGAAAATGGAACCATCAAATAAGCCAGTTTGAATAAGTTTGCCTAGCATAATTTGTCTTAAATTGGTGGTTGATTGACATTTGAGAGAAAAATTTAGCAACCTATAGTGGAAAAACAGGTACTCTCTTTGTAACTATGATATTGGAAGGGAAGATCCTTTAACAATTTGTTATTTTGTACAACAATCTAGTGATTTCTGAGATAGTCTGCCTATGATTTCAGAGTTTATAATACTATCTTTAATAAAATTAACATAAAAATATGTATTTCCAAGGTTACATTGTCTTTTAAAGGCCTTAATATTTGTGACTACTGCTGTGTTCATCCCTGAATTTGTAACAAAACACTTAATTTGTTCATTTGAGTTATGTTTTGGTTAGCTCTATGGAGTCAAACGAAGAAGAATACTACCTGAATTTTGCAGTATATTCTTTTTTTATTTTATTTTATTGATTTTTCTTACAGAGAGGAAGGGAGAGAGAGAGAGAGAGAGAGGTAGAAACATCGATGAGAGAGAAACATCGACCAGCTGCCTCTTGCATATCCCCTACTGGGGATGCATGCCTTTGACCAGAATTGAACCTGGGACCTTTCAGTCTGCAGACTGACACTCTACCGCTGAGCCAAACCGGTTTCAGCAGTATATTCTTTTGGTTACTGCTTTTTTTTATATATAGTAACCCCCCGTTATCCATTGGGGTTACCTTGCAGTACCTCCAGTAGATGCCTAGACTTTGGATAGTACCAAACTATATATATCATGTGGCTTTTTTCCTATACATACATATTTATGAGGAAATTTAATTTATAAATTAGGCACAGTAAGAGATTAACAACAATAACTAGTAATAAAATATAATTATAACAGTATACTATAATACACTTTATGTGATGAGATCACTTGTTTCAGAGAATCCTTTGCTGAAGTGTTCAGTTAGGCTCAGTGCTTTCTGATGCAACATGTTGCTGTCAGTTGGAGCACATTTTCTGTTCATGTCTTCTATCCACAAATTTTATTTTTAAAGATTTTTTACAATTGATTATTAAAGAGAGGGAAGGGAAGAGGGAGAAAGAAACATCAGCTGCCACCTGTATGCTTCTCACCAGGGATCGAGCCTGCAACTCTGGCATGTGTCCTGACCAGGAATCAAACCAGCAAGCAACTAAGCCATGAGGGAGGGCTCCCACAAATTTAATGCCTTTTCAATCTTTACTAAGCCACTTTATCACACACTGTGGCCATAACTTTTGCAGTTTGAAGTGTTGCAACAAAACTAGCGTGAATTCTTTTTCTGTAGTTTCCATTTAATATTTAGGACCTTAGGTAACAAACTGCAGACAGTGAAAGCTTAGGTAAGTGGAAATGCTATACATGAAGCAGCAGACTTGCTACACATAAATAAGTAATACGTAAAAAAACAAAAACAAAAATCACATAGCTCTATTATTAAATGAAAATTTTGTGTTTGGGTGTCCTGTAAGAAAATTATCAAGCTGAGTTGAAAACTGATAAGAAATGGCCAGACTTCCTGAAAATTAAATCTAGCTGATTTAAATTTGTTTTTTGTTTTTAGCCTCAATCAGACCTGTTGGGGCTTATTCAGGTTATGATTGTGGTGTTTGGAGATGAACCTCCAGTCTTCTCTCGACCTACAGTTTCAGCATCTTATCCACCATACCAGGCAACAGGGCCACCAAATAGTAAGTAGAATTGAGATTTGGTTTTTAAGCTCAAACAAAAGAAGACAGAAAACCTTGTTAACAAAATGTTTTTAATGACTTCACTTTGCTTTCTAGCTTGTCAAGTTAGTGGATTTTTTGGAGATATTCTGAGGCCCCACATCTGCATGTACAGATTCCCACCAAAGACTGGCATTTGGGCTCTCGTTTGTGGGTAGAAATCTAACTCTGGTGTGCTGGATTCCAAAATGGGGGAGAAAGAATGCTGGAATAGAGCTAGAATTTTTTTTTAAATTATGCATGCCATAGAATAGCCTTATTTGGTCATTTTGGAACCAGACATAACTTGAAAGGTAGTCTGACCTCTCCTTTTCTTTGCAACTCCAGGGTCAGTGTTGTAGATAAGAATCAAAAACAAAGTCATAAATCGTTCTCATTCAGCTATTCTGGGTATACACAATTGGCCATCTAGCTCTCAGCTTTCTTCTCTTTAGTACAGCCAATTCATGATTTTACTTTGAGGAAAGGGCATGGGGGGCATGGAGTCAGTACCAATTTTCCCCTAATTTGGTGTATATTATCTCAACTACTTCTGGGGGTTTTTTCCCTAATAATTCTTAAAATCACCCTGGATAATTGAGAATTGGTTGTACTTGTTTGATTTTAATAAACCTGCATAGATTTCATTGTTTTGAGTTGTGATTATTTTTTACAAATTTTGCTTAAGATTATATAATTAACCAGACTTTTAAATCAGACTACATGCGTTTTAATTTTTCTGCTGAAAATTACTCTCTTTAATCCATTCTGTCTTGAGGAGCATCTTGACTCAGAAACTGAATGGGAATTTAGTAGAAAGAACTTTCTGTACCCATTTTCTTTTCCTTCCCTGCCTTCCCAAAGTTTGGTTTTAGAATTTAGTACCACTTATTTTTTACTTATTTTTATTGATATTTTACTGAGAGGAAGGGAGAGGGATAGAGAGCTAGAAACATCATTGAGAGAGAAACATCGACCAGCTGCCTCTTGCACACCGCCTACTGGGGATGTGCCGGCAACCAATGTACATGCCCTTGACCAGAATCGAACCTGGTTTGGCTCTATCCACTGAGCCAAACCGGTTTCTGCTTTAGTACCTCTTTTAATAAAGATTCTAGGTATTAAATTATTCATCTTAAATTCTGTTGTCTCCAGTACCCAAGATTATGTACTCTTGCTCATGTTTTTCAAAAATCAAATATTTTTTCATCATTCATATTTATTTGGTCAAATGACATAGCAAAGACCACTTAAGGTAAAGCTAGCCTTTTCAGAAATATAGACAGTCTCCTGAGCAAAATTTTCCCCCTAAATTTCTCCCAGTTTTATTTTGACATTGGAAGCATAACATTCTAGAAAGGGATCACACTGAAGAAAGTGCTACTAAAGTTCAATTTTGTGAAGTGATCTGGAACTAGTTCAGATAAATTACTAGTTTAACTAAAAGACCAATTTATTGCCCATCCTTTCCAGTTTTAATACTTTTATACACTTAAACAATATTATTATCCTATCTAATAAAAGAGTAATATGCAAATTGACCATTACTTCAACACACAAGATGGCTGCACCCATGTAGACACAAGATGGCCAGCAGGGAAGGCAATTGGGAGGGACAAGGCCTACAAGGGACGGCAGTTGTGGGCGATCAGGCCTACAGGGGAAAGCAGTTAGGGGTGACCAGGCCGGCAGAGGAGGGAAGTTGGGTGTAACTGGGCCTGCAGGGAAGGCCAGTTGGGGGGGACCCAGGCCTGCAGGGAGAGCAGTTTGGGGAGAACAGGCCTGCAGATAGGGCAGTTGGGGTGATCAAGCCTGCAGGGGAGGGCAGTTAGGGGTGACCGGGCTGGCAGGGGAGGGCAGTTAGGGGCAATCGGGCTGGCAGGGGAGTGGTTAGGGGGTGATCAGGCTGGCAGGCAGAAGTGGTTAGGGGCAGTCAGGAAGGCAGGCAGGCGAGCAGTTGGGAGTCAGCAGTCCTGGATTATGAGGGATCTCATCTTGGAGAGAGTGCAGGCTGGGCTGAAGGACACACCTCAGATATCACTTAAGGTAAAGCTGGCCTTTTACAAATTTTGTGCACCGGGCCTCTAGTTACGTATAACTATAAAGAAATTAAAGTCTGAATCACATCAAGGAATAACTCAGAAATGGGTATATACTTAAACAAATATTATCTTTTATCATTTGTCAAAACACTTTTAAAAAATATATTTTTATTGATTTCAGAGAGGAAGGAAGAGGGGGAGAGAGATAGAAACATCAATGATGAGAGAATCATTGATTGTCTGCCTCCTGCATGACCCCTACTAGGGATCAAGCCCACAACCAGAGTATGTGTCCCTGATTGGAATCGAACCCGGTACCCCTCCGTCTGCAGGCCTATACTCTATTCACCAAGCCAAACCAGATAGGGCAGTCAAAACACTTTACACACAAAAATTTTTTTTTATTGCTTTTAGAGAAGAAGGGAGAGGGAGATAGAACCATCAGTGATGAAAGAATCATTGATGGATTGTCTGTCTCCTGCATGAAAACACTTTAGATCTGTTTTAGGATAACTTTCACGCTAGCTCTGACTCACATTTAAAAAGTGTTATGTTTTCCCTAACTGGTTTGGCTCAGTGGATAGAGCGTCGGCCTGCGGACTCTAGGGTCTCAGGTTCGATTCTGGTCAAGCGCATGTACCTTGGTTGCTGGCACATATCCAGTAGGGAGTGTGCAGGAGGCAACTGATCATTGTTTCTTTCATCGATGTTTCTCTCTATCCCTCTCCCTTCCTCCCTGTAAAAAAAAAATCAATAAAATACATTAAAAAATAAAGTGTTATGTTCAAATCTCATTTTTGACAGCTAACAGTAATAGTCAACATTTATTGAATGGGTCTGGCCAGTGGTTGAGTGTCAATCTAAGAACCCCCTTTTGATTCCTGGTCAGGGCCACGTGCCCAAATTATAGGCTTGATCCCCAGTGGGGAGCAAGCAGGAGGTAGCTGAGCAATGATTCTCTCTCATTGATGTTTCTCTCTCTCTCTCTCCTTCTCTGAAATCAATAAAAATACTAATTTTAGAAAAACATTTATTGAATGGTAACAATTAGAAACAGCTAAGCAATTCATATTCATTGTTATTTAACCTTTATAATAACCCTCTACATTACGTGTATTTGTATCTCATTTTATTCTGGCTCTGAAATGACTTTACTTCATTATATGCTTCCTTGCCAGTTTTCACTCCAAATAGCATTTTTTCCCAAAATCAAAATTTGAAGGCTTTGGTGGAATTGTTAATTTTTCAGAACCTCAAAAAAGGAAAGTTGCTTATAACTATGAGGTGGTGGTTTACATGTGTGAGAGGGAAATTATCCTGGGGATATTAATTGACTATATGTTGCTGATTATAAAGATCAACTGTGCTTTGCCCCTAGGAAAAAAAGATATTTTATGTTATCTAGTAATTGTGACATTTTGGGAGATTTTTATCTTTTTGGAAATAGCGTTGAACATCCTTAGCTTCGTTATACTTAAGAAAAATTTTACTTATGACATCAGTAGATTCATCCTAACTAGAAGACTGTGAACATTGGTACTGAGAGATGTATGCTCGGCAACTCTGATAAAGACTTCTTTTTTAAAATATATTTATATTTATTGCTTTTTTACAGAGAGGAAGGGAGAGGGATAGAGAGTTAAAAACATGGATGAGAGAGAAACATCGATCAGCTGCCTACTGGGGATGTGTCTGCAACCAAGGTACATACCCTTGACTGCAATCGAACCTGGGGCCTTTCAGTCCGCAGGACGACACTCTATCCACTGAGCCAAACCGGTTAGGGCTTTGATAAAGACTTCTATGATCCTTGGCCAGAGTTCAGCATGCTTCTCCCATCTTACTTGCATTCTGTGCTCTAAAAGTTTGTTTCTCCAGGGCTCCACCTCACTTGCCTTCCAGCCTTCATATACCATTCCTCTACTAGATCACTTTGTTTACCCCCACCTCCTAGGTTTAAATTACCTGCCTCCTGTGTGACTTTCTCTGTCATCTTATCACTCTGTACTATTATTCCTTGCTTGCTTATCTCCCTGACTAGACTATAAGCAACTTGAGGCCAGGAATTCCTTTTTATTTTCCCATCAAATTCCCATTGCCTGTCACATAGAAGGCACTAAAATATTGATTGGATTAAGGGTAATTCACTGTATGTTCAGTGAGAAAAATTTCACTTAGGGCACATTGATTCCAAGACAGCTCATTTCCACTTAAAGTCAAAATTCTGTTTTCTTCCTCTATGTTGATTAGCCTTTTGGCACGACCTACTAGTTCTGTCCTTGTTCACTTTAAAATATATGTAAAACATTCTATAAGCTTGCTAGATTTGTGCTTTTTTTCTCTAGTATTCTCAAACTTTTGTTTTAAACTATTCTAACTGAATGTAAGTTTTGTACAGGACTTGTCATAGTAATTTGAAGTCCTCAACAAGCCAACAAACCCAGCTGTGCTAATCGGTCAACATAGTCTTAAAAGAAATACAATAAGATTTCTTAGATAAAATAGAGAGGTCACTAAGAAGCTGACATTGGACCAGATGCGGGCAGAGATACCTTCTTCTAAATTCTAAATTAAATCAGTTCCTGTCTCGAGTTGGAGATTCCTTGAGAGCTTGTAAAGCTGACCAGGTTGACCTATGTGCCAGTTAGTCCTTGTTGGGATTGTCACCTATAAATAACTCATGTTTAATGCTTTGAGAATTATGTGATATACAGAGCATTATTCTTGAAGTAAAGAACTAATGTGGGTGAAGTGTTTGTTTTGTTTTGTGCTGAGATTTGGATTATTTATGAAATTTTTGATTTTTCAACTGTGTGAGATTTTGTACAGTTTGATAGTGATGTATATCTCTTGTGATAACCTATGTACCAAGACTATAAATATTATTTTAAAATGTTAAAACTTATTTTCAGCTTCCTACATGCCAGGCATGCCCAGTGGAATCTCTTCATACCCATCCGGATACCCTTCCAATCCCAGGTAATAATAAAAAATTTATTTTTTGAATAACTATTAGAAATTCTGTTGATCTCGCCGAAACCGGTTTGGCTCAATGGATAGAGCATCGGCTTGGGGACTGAAAGGTCCCGGGTTCGATTCCGGTCAAGGGCATGTACCTTCGTTGCGGGCATATCCCCAGTAGGGGGTGTGCAAGAAGCAGCTGGTCGATGACTCTCTCTCATCGATGTTTCTAACTCTCTATCTCTCTCCCTTCCTCTCTGTACAAAATCAATAAAAATATATTTAAAAAAAAAAATTCTGTTGATCTAGAGCCAAATTAATAGGTTCTGGGCATTAAAGTAAATTTAATTAACAATTTAATGGCAAGTAGAATTTGGTGTATTGGTGGCATTTTATGGTATGTACATAGTTCTACAGGAGTTTTTTCCATTTTGGAGAAATGTGGCTCTGTCCCATTTACAGAGAGGAAAGGGAGGGGACATTGTCAATGATCTTTGATTGGTTTTGGGCCTTGAAAATCTTGCTACTTCCCTTGGGGAACAGTGTAAGTGACTGAGAGGATAAAGGAATATGAATTTTAATGAATTCAACCAGGAGAATGATATTTTAATACCCTTTTTAAAAACTTAACCTTTCTGGTCTGTCCAGTGTGGTTCAGTGGTTGAGCATCCACCTATGAACCAGGGAGGTCACAGTTCGATTCCAAGTCAGGGCACATGCCCAGGTTTTGGCTCGATTCCCAGTGTGGGAATCAGTCAATCAATGTGCAGGAGCCAGTCAATCAATGATTTTAATCATTGGTATTTCTACCTCTCTCTCCCTCTCCTTCCTCTCTGAAATCAATAAAAAATATATTTTTAAATGACCAGCTTATCTTTCTGTAAATTACAAGGAATAGATTAATGTTCACATGATAGAGTCAATCTTGTCCTCGTATTTATTCATTCAGTTCATAAACTAATATGTGCTACCAATCTTTATTACCCATTTGATGATATATAGCACTGGTAAATTAATTTAATAATTCAGCCAGTCTATGAATAATGCACACTAGAAAATCAGTAAGAAATAATTCCTAACCCATGTTTTAGAAGTTGATGGAGCAGCAAAGAGTAATAACATTTGATAACTGAGAGGAAACTTATTATGAAGTCCAGTCCACCCATTTTATGCAAGCCAAAATAAATAAATACCAGGAAAGAATAGGGAAACACTTTACTGTGGCTGGAAAATACAGTTATGAATAGGGGAATTGAAGAGAATAGGTAAGTACAACTTTCATAGGTATTATACATCTCCCAAAACATTACCTGGTCTCTAGCTAGTATTGATTTTCTGCTCTCCTTCTCCTGAACTTTGATTTGGCATGTGTTATTTCCTTTATCCTATCAAGGTTTTTTCACAGGGATCTTGCCCTGTTTTAATTATTAGTAGTATTCTGAGGAAGAGATGGATTTACATCTTAGCTTTTACATTAAGCACTGATACAATGCCTTAAATATAACAGTAAATTTTGAAGAGGTACATAAAGAAAAAGGAACATAAAAGTGTTGGTGAAAAAATTTTTAATACACTTATGTCAAAAAGTGCTCTTTAAAAACCTGAAATTTGCGGCAAATTGCTTAATAACATGTAAAGATAGAAAATAGTCCAGTAATCCTCTTTATTCGTGATTTCATTTTCCACAGCAAACCATGGTCCAAAAAATATTAAATGGAAAATTCAGAAATTAACAGTTCATAAGTTTTCAGCTGCATGCCATTCTGAGTGCCATGATTAAATCTTGCACTGTCTCACTGCACCTTGCCTAGGACATAAATCATCCTTTTGTCCAGTGTACCATGCTGTATATGCTACCTGCCCATTAGTCACATAGTAACCCTCTTAGTTATCAAGTCAGCTGTCTCACAGTATCATAGTGCTTATGTTCAAGTAGCTCTTCTTTTACTCAGTAATGACTCCAAAATGTAAGAGGAGTGATACTATTGTCACGGGTATTGTAAGTGGTATTTATGAAACAAAGTTAGATAGGAGGAGAATGCCTCTAAGGAAAGTTCCTTCCAATTCTATGTGAATGTATGAATAACACAGTTTCTATAGAAAAGAAAAAAATTTATAACTATTTAGTATTTTCAGATCAAATATTCACAAAGATTATCTATGAACCACAGGTGAAATTAAATAGTGTAGCCCTGGCTGGTTTGGCTCAATGGATAGAGTGTTGGCCTGTGGGCTGATGGGTCCCAGGTTTGATTCCGGTCAAGGGCACAAGCCCAGGTTTCAGGCTCAGTCCCCAGTGGGAGGCGTACTGGAGGCAGCCAATCAGTGATTCTCTCTTATCCTTGATGTGTCTGTCTCTCCAACAAACTGTGAAGTCATTAACTACTAAAAGAACGACATGTCAAGCTTAACTTCCTGAATGGGGTTCTAAAGACACTGTAGTGTTGGGTCATCTTAATATTTAATGCTTTCCATTCTGCTCTTTAGTGGTTATCCAGGCTGTCCTTACCCACCTGGTGGCCCATATCCTGCCACAACAAGTTCCCAGTATCCTTCTCAGCCTCCCGTGACCACAGTTGGTAAGTAGCCTTCAAAACTGTATTTCTTCACATAAGGAGAATGAGTCTCCTGTTGTGAAAAGTTTCACTTTTTTTATTGAATAAATTTGACATGTGTAAGTTAAGGAGTACAGCATGTTACTTTGATACATTTATATGTTGCAGTATTGCTGTAGCAATATCACTTTATAATTATAATACAATACTGTTGTCTATATTCATTATACTGCACACTAGATCTTTATGACTTATTTACTCCTCATTACAAGTTTGTATTTTTAAACACCATTAGTCATTATCCTCCCCTGCCCATCCCTGTTTTTTATTTTTACACTGAAATGTTAGAATCCACTTAACAATGAAGTAACAGAGATGGCATTCTTTTTTTCTCTTTTTTAAAAATATATTTTATTGATTTTTTACAGAGAGGGAGAGAGTTAGAAATATCGTAGAGAGAGAAACATCAATTAGCTGCCTCATGCACACCCCCTACTGGGGATGTGTCTGCAACCAAGGTACATGCCCTTGTCCGGAATTGAACCTGGGACCCTTGAGTCCGCAGCCTGACACTCTATCCACTGAGACAAACCGGTTAGGGCAGAGATGGCTTTCTTAAAGCAACCTCTTCTGAGAGAGAAGACTGAGGATGGATGCATATCTTGGAACTTAAAAAAGCTCTATCTGACTCCATTCAATGTAGTGTTTTGTTTTTTAATATTACATATTTCCCCTTTTTTCTCCCATTGACCCCTTCTAACCTACCTCCTCCCCCTGCCCGGGCCTTCACCATTCTGTTGTCTGTGTCCATGGGCTATGCATATATGCATACAATTTCTTTGGTTGATCACTTCCCACCCACTCGCCATTCCACATCTTCCCTCTAAGATTCTTCAGTGTGTTTCATGCTTCCATATCTTTGGATGAACTCTGTTCATCAGTTGTTTTTTTGTTGTTGTTGTTTTTTAACAACATTTGATATTGGACTCTTCCTGTGCATAAGCAATGTCCTTTGGACAGATGGATGAAGGACACTCAGGAAAACCTGGCCATGAGAGACACTATCTATACTAATTTTCACTTGTAAGAGAAAGAAAATCCATTTCAGAAAAACAAAAACAGCTCTTCTGGGTGGAAACAAGAGAAAGGGGTGGGGAGCAAAACTTTAGTCTCTTTCAACACCCAATACCCCTGAGAACACCAAAGTCTCCCCATGTCATTTACAAAGGCCCAGAAGAGCACTCAGGGTAAACCTGGGTATGGAACAGCTTCTGGGAGAAGATAACTTTATTAATTAAAAACGAAAAAACAGTGAGACCATTTATGGAACAGTGGTGTTGTGATCAAATGGGACACTGAAGAGCATGTGTGGAACTGGTTGTGGTGTGGGCAGCAGGTTCCTTTTACATACTGTAACTTGGGTCCAAGAAGGGACTTAAAATAGATGGAAATGTGTGGTGAGAGTTTAGGTACATTCTTTCAAACTAAAAGGGCTTTTTCCCAGATGAGTGAATTGTCAAGATGATAAAAATTTTCAGCTCAAAGTGGAGGTATACTTTGTTAGTCTGTAATCATTCTTATGCATTGGCGGCAATAAAAGGTAAATATACTTAGAGTAATTCCCCACTTAGTATTCCATCATCGAACATAACTGAAAATCAAATGCCATTTATACATTTGCTGATTTAAGCATGAAAAACATTAATAATTATAAAGAGAATTCTTACTTATGTTAAATGCATGATATTTTTTGTTTTGTTTTGTTTCTTGGTTGTTTTAAATGTATCTTTAGTTTTGAAATTATTACAAATGCCATCCCCCCCCTCTGTTTTTTCCCATTTGACCACGTCCACCCTGCACCCACACCTTCACCACACAGGACTTTTTGAGGAAAATATCTGCAGCATTTATTTGATCTGAAATGTGCAAGGAAATTATTGAAGACACTGGTCAGGAAAAGTCATTTAGAAGAGAATAAATAAGTTTATCAGCTGTTGAGTTTTTCTGGATGTCATTGTCTTGCTCACTGGTTCTGGTAAAGAGTAAAGGAGTAGTCCTCGCTGGTGTGACTCACTTGGTTGGAATACTGCACCAAGAAGTGGCAGGTTCGATTCCCAATCAGGGTACATATTCAGGTTACCAGTTCCATCCCTAGTAGAGTGTATATGGAAGGCGACTGATGTTTTTCTCTCTCTCTTCTTCCCCCTTTCTCTCTTCTTTGTCTCCCTCCCTTCCTCTTCTGCTCTCAAAAAAAAAAAAAAAAAAAAAAAAAAGGAATAAAGCCTTGCAGAAGTTAAGCCTTATTAACCCATATATTAGGGACTCTTTCTGATCTCAGTCCTGTTACAGGCTTCTCGAGTGGGTTCCTATCTCCTTCAGTTTAGCTGTGAGGCCTGAGAATGATCTTGGCCTAAATAAAATGTTTCTTATTGGTATAACTTGTTGAGAAATATATGAATTAATAATCTCTTGAAGGAAAAGTATTTCTGAATCAACTGAAATTTCAAAGTTATTTATGGAATTGTAACATTTAAAAGTTTTTCTTTCCTCCTACTTTGAAAGTGTCAGCTCATATTTTGTCCTGTTTTTGAAGGTTCCTGTGAAAGAAATAGAAGGACTTGGGAAATAAGTGGGGGTTTTTTGCCCTTTTTTCCTGCAGGTCCCAGTAGGGATGGTACCATCAGTGAGGACACCATCCGAGCCTCTCTCATCTCAGCGGTCAGTGACAAACTGAGATGGCGGATGAAGGAGGAAATGGATCGCGCTCAGGCAGAGCTCAATGCCCTGAAACGAACAGAGGAAGACCTGAAAAAAGGTCACCAGAAACTGGAAGAGATGGTTACCCGTTTAGATCAAGAAGTAGTAAGTAACTCATTGAATAGTTGTGATTTTTAGGATGAATGGTAGGCAGTGTTACCTGTTACACTGGACGTTGTAGAGTACAGTCGGTTCAGAAAATTATATGTCTTTAAACATTTGAATATAGCTTCTGTATAGCTTTGTTTAAATGGAGCCTGTGTCTCCTATCTGATTGGAAGGTGGATGGTATTTAGATCATTTTTGCTTGCACCTTCACCCTGGGGGATGGTGTTCTGATACACAGGAGGGCTGTTTTGAGTGCTTGATTTGGCCAGTTACCAGGATAATTTGAGAGCTCTTAGCCATAGTAAAAATCTGCAGAACCTGGTACAGATCTGTGTCAGTTCCTTGTATTGTTTCCAAATGTTGTTTGAGTTGTATTTAAAGTATCTTCAATGAGCCCTTCTGACTTAATTCAAAGATCTATGGGTGACTTAACAGGTACATATAAATGTAGAGTTTGCAACCGTTAGTTCTTAAGCTTTCTTACGTTTTATCAGTCTGCTGTGCCCTGGATAGTCAGTGTAAGTCAGACCTGTGACTTTAACAATGAAATAGAGGCAATAACATGATTGCCAGCTTCACTCTATTTTCATCCCCCACAAAGGACAGTTTTGTGAAAGGGTTGAGTTAGTGAATGTTTGAGGGCTTTGGAGAAGTGATTTGTTATGTGTATATTAGTCTTACACAATGGTTCTAGTGTAAAGTGAGCTTCCCAGCAGGCAACTATTTTCAAAAGTTCAGGAAAGTGACACCAGCACAATTCAGAGCTTGTAGCTACCACCTGTGATATCTTGTGACTTGTGTTCAAGAGTTTAGGGTTCTATCCATTGAATCTCTATACTGAGGAAGAGTTATTCCTTTGTGGCAGATGCCCACTTGTTTGAAAAAAAAAAAGATATCTTTTGTAGTTATGTAAAGAACCTCTGGTTGTAGATTATCTTGTCTGATTAATTATTTTACAATATTATTTGTCAGTGGTAAGTGATAAGGTTATCATTGCCACTAAAAGGGTTCAGCTCAAGGTATTTCCAACATTATTCTGCTTTCACTCATCATACCTTCTCCTCTACCTTTCACCAGTGTGCTGAATGCAACATTAATCTCATCCATGAGTTGTTGGGTGAGATATCTGACAAGCAGATAATTACACACAATTAGTATAAAATTGCATTGCTTGGACTGTTCTGTTTTCAGGCTGAGGTTGATAAAAACATAGAACTTTTGAAAAAGAAGGATGAAGAACTCAGCTCTGCTCTGGAAAAAATGGAAAATCAATCTGAAAACAACGATATTGATGAAGTTATCATTCCAACAGCCCCACTATATAAACAGATCCTAAATCTGTATGCAGAAGAAAATGCTATTGAAGACACTATCTTTTACCTGGGAGAAGCCTTGAGGCGGGGAGTAATAGACCTGGATGTCTTCTTAAAGGTATGTCTTCCTCATTCTGCTTTCCAGGATTTTGGAACTTTTAGAGACACTGATCTTACCATAAACCCAAGAGGGTTTCTCTGGAGGCTGTGGGTTAAAATTCCTCATTTTTACCAAATGAGAACAAGTTGACATATATGGCAGTGTCTTCTCACCTACAAAGGCTGAGGGTCTGTCTGAGTAGGGGAAGAAAAGTGGGTTAGTGACACACACACCACATCACTCCTGGGAACATTAAACTGAATATCATTCTTACTACTGAGATTTCCATTGGTTCTTTCTGGTCATACCATATAAATTGAGATCACTGACAACCCTCCACCCCCATTATTTTTCTGATAATTTTCTTAAGTTTATATAATTTTAGTCCAGTTTTTCCAGCCCTGCAAAGTTTGGGCTGCCCTGCTGGTACTAAAGCCCTCTGAATGAAGGTTGTTTCAGGCTTAATGCTATTATACAGACATGAAGAAAAGATCCTGAGCCATATCTGACTATTGGTCTTTGTTGGGTCATAAAGCAGCATGGTTTTGGGAAGAGCAGTAGCCACCCTTTGGATATTCAACCTGGCTGCTGTTGATGATTCAGTGTACATGTGAGGCTAGTCAGGTCACTCGATGATCCTGCCTATCTCAGTGAGGACCCAAACCACTCTTGGACGATGTGCAAGCACATGATGGCTAGGTATAAGCAGGAGACAAAGGGGACTCCCTTCCATACATGTCACCTGCTTAGGTGGCATAGCTGAGGGACAGATGCACTTGGAGAGAAGCTAAAGAAGTATGCTATTTGCTAAGCATGGGCCAAAAGCTGGCCTTGTGGTGCTCATCCCTGCCCTTCCTAGTCGCGTGAGGACAAACTCATAACTATCAAAGTTTTTGTAACTTCATTAGGATCACAGTACAAATTTCCCTGGCATTTTGATAGTCTCAAGATGTAGCACAAATTCCTGAGCTAGATTCTGCAATGTGGTGCTTTTCTTGTAAAATATATCTTTATAAGGTCTTAGAAGATTACTTTCCTTAACACAACCTACCAGCCTGAAGCTAGTGGAGGTTAAAAAATCACATGTAATGAAATATTGGTTTCAAAGGAAGGTTGATATGAATTTAGGATTCTTAGGTTGCATCTGTGTTACAGACTGTCTGATACTTCATTCCTGGGCCAAAGCCATTCTAAACTGTTGAAACTTTTTTCCCCCAACCAGCATGTACGTCTTCTGTCCCGAAAACAGTTCCAGCTGAGGGCACTAATGCAAAAAGCAAGAAAGACTGCCGGTCTCAGTGACCTCTACTGACTTCTCTGTCACCAGCTGGAGATGAGCTCTAATTAAAGCATTCTTTTATTCTTTCTTTCTCTGATCAGTAGGTGAACAGAATAAGTTATTGCAGTTTATCACTCAAGTGTAAAATATTTTGAATCAATAATATATTTTCTGTTTTCTTTTGGTAAAGACTGGCTTTTATTAATGCACTTTCTATCCTCTGTAAACTTTTGTGCTGAATGTTCGGACTGACTATGCTAAATAAAACTTGTTGCATAACTGTTTTCTTCTTTATTGAACATCTTTAGGAAAAATCCATGAAACCTTATAAGTCCTGAGTGATACCCTCCTGCCAGTCAATCCCTACTAGATTTGTTTTCTTTCTAGGCCTGATTAACTCATAACTTTTCATCAAGAAGAAAGGGGCCAACCTCTACACATAAGAATTCATATTAACTGAGGAAGAAGGTGCGATGAACTATCCTTTTGTTGTTAATTCTCGTCCAATGATATTATACCATTCATTTTTAGACAGAGTGGAGGGGGAGACATCGACTGGTCTCCGGGGATCGAGCCTGAAACCAATATGTGCCCTTGAGTGGAATCAAACCTGAGACCCTTCCATCTACAGGCCAGCACTCTTATCTACTGTGTCAAACCAGCTAGGGCAGTGGTCGTCAAACTCATTAGTCAGCAGAGCCAAATATCAACAGCACAACGATTGAAATTTCTTTTGAGAGCTGAAAACCGACTTCTGAGCATGGGCCACGAAGTTTCAATAGCACTGTATGTGCGTGCCCGCATGTGGTATTTTGTGGGAGAGCCACACTCAAGAGGCCAAAGAGCCACATGTAGCTCGAGAGCCGCAGTTTGCCGACCACTGAGCTAGGGCAATGAACTACGCTTCTATTGTCATTTGAAGTCTGCCTTCCTGGCAAGTTCACCAAATGAACTTGTACTGTCCTGCAGAGCTCATCTAGTAAAACAGAATGTTCATGAGGTTATAAAAAAATGAAAGTCCTAATTTTGTGATGTTTTTAAGATATTCAGGGAGCAGGCAGTTTTTGGGTTGGTTATTTAAGGTAAGACACAGAGATCCAGAAATTAATATTAAATCAATTTTACCACTAACAGTTAATATATTATTTTAAACTGCTGCTATATAGACTTATCCGTCAACAGTGAGTGCCTACTATATAGGCACTGGTTTAGGCTCAGCAATAAGACATCACTGCTTAAGAATATATAATCTGGCCCTCACTGGTTTGGCTCAGTGGATAGAGATTGACCTGCAGACTGAAGGGTCCCGGGTTTGATTCTAGTCAAGGGTACATCCTCGGGCTGCAGGCTCAATCCCTAATAAGAGGTGTGCAGGAGGCAGCCAATCAATGATTCTTATCACTGATGTTTCTCTCCCTCCCTCTCCTTTTCTCTCTGAAATCAAATATTTTTTAAAAGAATATATAATGGTGAATATGATCACACAAAAAGTGCTAGTGAAAGAATAATATGACAACATATATTTAAGGGAGCTAATCTCATTCCTCTGGCAGAGTTCAGGCTCACTCACTTCCTAGGTCCTGAAAATGCAAAAAAAACATCTTACCTGGCAATTAGTTTGTGAACATTCTCCCACTGCTCAGGATCTTTATCGGTTCCTATATCGAGTTCAGTCCTTCAGAGGGCCCCAGCAATGTTCACTCCATTCCACACAGGAACTAAGAAAAAGATACCCAAAAATCTATTTATCATATAGTATTTTTTAACAGGATTTTAAGAAATATTAGCATAACTATTATAATTGCCCTGAATGGTTTTCAACTTCGAATGTTCAACAGAACTACCTAGAAATTCAGATGTCCAAGTCCCATCTCAAATCTGCTTTTTCAAGGTCTCCAGGGATGGGGCCCACAATTCTATTATCTTGGCAAGATTCTCCAAAAAAGAAACAGTTTTAACTTTTATCATTTCAAGCCCTTTTCCATAGCCAGGTTTATATTAGGTGCATTTAAAAGATGCTTAGCCAGAAGAATCAAGGATAAGAACTGCTATGACTATATTACTCTTTCCTTTAAATTTTCCTAATTAAATATGAGGAATCCATGTTCACTCATGAACTGGAGTGAACTAGACTGGCCCAAGTTAAATATAAACTACATCATGTTACTTAGTGCTGTAATTATCTTAACCACAAATATATAATATGTATAACATATTTAAGTAACATAGTAACATTCTCAGTTTTTTCAAACTTGTGTTTCTGGTAGATTATAAAAATAAGTAATGTGCCAAAAACTAACAAAAGGGCCTAAAGTGCAATAAAAGTTCTTACCACCAAGAAGCTATTTTTACTTTATGATTAAATAGTTTTATGATCAATATAGTCAAGATGTATTTCACAGAGTATTCATGGTTCAAAGGTGCTTACCACGGAGTCCCCATGCTCTCCAAGGACCAGCCCATGACAGCTTTCAGAGTGGATACCAAGCCTCTGCCCAGTCAGGAAACAAAACCACCAGTGTCCTGGTGACCGCCACTCCCAATAATACGGTTTTGGGGAAATGCACTACATTTCCAGGCTTCATACGTTAAGATATCCACTAAGAAAAAAATAATCATGTCAGATAATGTACCCATCTAAAATAATTTTTTTTAGATTTATTATATTAAAACTAAACCGGTGGGGGTTTTTTTAGGGAGAGGATGTGGTTCTCTAACAGTCTCCAGCTATCCCACAATTCCAACAAAATCTACCCAAAGAAATAAAACTTTTTTGTTGTTTCTTTGTGAAGTCTATTGTGCACAAATACAGATTTGGTTCATTCCATTTTGAGAAACAAACGAATACTCTCTTGTCAAATCTTTTAAATAATTTTTCTCAAAGAATAACCCATTTATAGCACAAAGCTTAGGTAAGTGGGGAACAGAGAAATAAGCATAGGTAGAATATAGTTGTTAGGAAAAACATAAACCAGGCCTTAGTCCTAGTAGACAAGGGAATAATTTTGGGGATAGTCTGATGTTTTAGGTATGTGAACTATTTAAACAGCATTTATCAAAAAAATTTTTCTTACTGAATTTAAAAAGTGGTAACTATTAGGTAAAAGAAGGGTAGTGTAGCAAACAAATAGAATTTTCAATAAAAAGGCATTAAAAGGGATAATACTACATGATATATGAAACAATCCAATATGTAATAATTATAAAATTAGATACAACTAATAATAAATTAGCATCAAAATATATGAAAAATTTGGGAAGTGCAAGGTATATTTAATTCATAATTATAGTGGACACTTAGAACATACCTTTATCAAATTTATATAGATTAGTAAAATTAAAAATTAGTAATTTACTAAAACTAAACAAAGTGTGATTGAATCGATATAGCAAGATTATCATGACCAGTAAAACCTATTTTTCCCCCAAAACAAGGAACATTTACACTTTCTATTGACTAAGTCAGAAAGTAAACCTTAAGAGATTTGAAAGAGCTGAAGTAAGACAAGCCACATTTCTCTGATCTCAATTGAGCTAAGTTAGAATCAACTCATTTATAGAACAAATTTTAAAATGTTTCAAAGGAAAAAAATATCCTTAAATGACTCACTGTCTTAGAAAATAAAACTTTAGGAATTACAAATATTTAGAACTAAACAACTAAGTGCCACAAAACCAAAAAAAGGTAAATGTATATTTTTAAATGTATCTTTTTAAACATTAAAATCAATGGCAAAGTTATTGGTCATAAAGTAAAGTTATTTATCAATGAAGATAAGAGCAGATAAGATGAAAAAAACAACACAAATATCAATAAAATAGAAAGCTAATTCTTAAGGAAAGATAGAGAAATCAAAAATAGCAAAATTAAGGGGTGAAAGGGCTGTATCCCAAACAAATAATATTAGAAAACAGGAGAGATAACCACAAGTTTTCAAAGTCAAAATATGAAACCTGCCAGTACATTTCAAAACCCTAGCTGGTTTGGCTCAATAGGTAAAGCATCTGCCTATGGACTAAAGGGTCAGGGTTCGATTCCGGTTAAGGACACATGCCTTGGTTGCGGGCTTGATCCCTACCAGAGGGCATGTAGGAGGCACCTGGTCAATGATTCTCATCATTGATGTTTCTCCCCCTCCTTTCTTCTCTGAAATCAATAAAAATATACTAAAAAAAAAAAAAAAACTTGGATGAAAAATAAGGTCAATGTTAAGAAAAACTTTATAAATGTATATTTTTCTCCTTTCTTCTCTTAGCTTCTATACAAAAAACAAACTGATAATGTAACCCTAAGAACAACCACTTAAACACTCAAAAGACTCTGAAACCGGTTTGGCTAGAGTGTCTGCCTGAGGACTGAAAGGTCCCAGGTTCAATTCCGGTCAAGGGCATGTACCTTGGTTGTGGGCATATCCCCAGTAGGGGATGTTCAGGAGGCAGCTGATTGATGTTTCTATCTCTGCCCCTCTCCCTTCCTCTCTGTGAAAAATCAATAAAAAAAATATTTTTTTAAAAACACTAAAAAAATACTTAAAAATTAATAAAAAATTAAATGCCACTTTAGAAAACATCCCTTTAATGCACAACCAAGTAAAAGAGGAACCAAGGAACAAAAGAAGACACAAGACATAGAAAACAGCCAAATGGCATGCATAAATCTAAACATATCAATAATAGAAAACTGAATAAACTAAAAAAATACATTCAAAAGACAAATTTTTAAACTGGGTAAAATGAGGTAATTGTAGAAAAGACACATTTTATATTTTAAAAGTTATAATAGGTTGAATATAAAAGAGTGAAAAATGATGCACCAAATTTTTGTAGTTGTTCTACAAGGGAACCTGAGTAGCCCTACTAATATCAAATTCTTTAAAAAGAAAAAATCTACAAGGATTTTTAAAAATATATATCTTATTGATTTTTTTTACAGAGAGGAAGGAGAAGGGATAATCAGAAACATCGATGAGAGAAACATCAATCAGCTGACTCACAAACACCCTCCACTGGGACATGCCCTTAACTGGTATTGA